TTCGTGGCGTTTGGTCAGACTTCTACCTGCCATGTGTCGCGGGACACACTGACATCCACAGGGAATCCATACACGGTACACCTTTGGGATGTGCACAAGCATGAGCGATGGTGCTTGCCAAGTTGCAACCAGCACAAGCTTCCATTCTAGGCCTCCAAAGGGCGCGGGCATCCTAGTGAATGAATAAGGCCCAGGTGCACGTTACATGTGCCACCTCGAGGCAGTACACTATTAAAACAGCGTTCCAAAGTATGCATGGTTGCCAAACCCCTTGACAGCGGCACACCACCATTACAGGGGGACTCGCAAACAGACAACACAACTGAAAGAGCAGGGCGACACAAAAACGCGTGCACGTTCACAGATGCCAGTCCTACTGATGAGGAAGAAAGGCCACGCCAGCTCACCCTATCAACCTGGTCTACCGATGCGCCCCTTTCCAGCAGCAGCGCCACGGTGCTTGTTTTGCCATTCCTTGCGGCCCAAATGAGGGCTGTCCGGCCACCCTATGCATCACACACAATGACGAGCAGGTCAAAGGGCTCTCGGGACCCAAACCAATAGACCAACACCAGTTTGGGTCGGTGCCCCTTTCAGCGAGTTTCAACAGGTGCGTTCATAGAGTGCAGTACGCTGTAGCACGGTAGCATCATGTGAATTGTGCAGCGGACATCACCGCCATCGTTCACATCAACAATGTCAATATTTGGGTTTAGATAAGTGCCCAAGAAAACTTTCGCTTGAGCTGTGCGGCCAGGAAAAGCACGAAGAGCACAAAAATGAGCAAGCCAGACTGGGAACTCCTAGTCCAGTGAAAAACGCTCAGTGCTTGCTTGGCAGCCCTTTCTTCAAAATGGCATTGCTCATGTCCAACAGTCAATCTGTGTCAGCTGCACACAGCACAACATAAACGTGGCATTGGTTGATGGCCTGAAGGATCACAGGGTCTTCTGTGCTTGCGTGCTTCAGCATGATCTTCATTGTCGTGCTTTGCACTTGTCAGACAACCAGTGGATGAGTCCTGATGCTGCTTGAGGCAGCTCAAAAAGCAGGACAAAATACAAGCACCGGCTCCTCTACTGTAGACATCACTGCCCGCAACATGCCAGGGGCAATGCTTGCATGTCCTGTTGACAACGCTCATCCATGGAAGCACCAACCCCTGCTGCTGCAGTGCGTGGATCAGGGGTAGAGGGTGAGAAACACAGGAAAACAGGTCAAGTTCTGGCGAAAGGAGTTTGTCCTTCCTGCATGTGAGTGTGGCAGTGTTGATGTTATTCAAACGCCAGGACACTCAGCAACCTCTATACTTTTCAGCGTCCACATTCCACACTTGCGGTCCGGCACAGTCAAGCGACCTTGATCTGGATGAATGGCATATTAGTTGTGGTTCAGAAACAAAACTGTGCCCATCCCGACATCCCAAAGTGAATGTTCCATCGTCTGCGTCTCCGCCTCGTGCAAGGGGATACAGGTTGCACAAATTCATCAGGTCAGCACACCGATCTGTAACAAGTTCGTGGCGTTTGGTCAGACTTCTACCTGCCATGTGTCGCGGGACACACTGACATCCACAGGGAATCCATACACGGTACACCTTTGGGATGTGCACAAGCATGAGCGATGGTGCTTGCCAAGTTGCAACCAGCACAAGCTTCCATTCTAGGCCTCCAAAGGGCGCGGGCATCCTAGTGAATGAATAAGGCCCAGGTGCACGTTACATGTGCCACCTCGAGGCAGTACACTATTAAAACAGCACTCCAAAGTATGCATGGTTGCCAAACCCCTTGACAGCGGCACACCACCATTACAGGGGGACTCGCAAACAGACAACACAACTGACAGAGCAGGGCGACACAAAAACACGTGCACGTTCACAGATGCCAGTCCTACTGATGAGGAAGAAAGGCCACGCCAGCTCACCTCCTCAGCCTGGTCTACCGATGCGCCCCTTTCCAGCAGCAGCGCCACGGTGCTTGTTTTGCCATTCCTTGCGGCCCAAATGAGGGCTGTCCGGCCACCCTATGCATCACACACAATGACGAGCAGGTCAAAGGGCTCTCGGGGCCCAAACGAATAGACCAACACCAGTTTGGGTCGATGCACCTTTCAGCGAGTTTTAACAGGTGCGTTCATAGAGTGCAGTACGTTGTAGCATGGTAGCATCATGTAAATTGTGCAGCGGACATCACCGCCATCATTCACATCAACAATGTCAAATATTTGGGTTTAGAAAAGTGCCCAAGAAAACTTTCGCTTGAGCTGTGCGGCCAGGAAAAGCACGAAGAGCACAAAAATGAGCAAGCCAGACTGGGAACTCCTAGTCCAGTGAAAAACGCTCAGTGCTTGCTTGGCAGCCCTTTCTTCAAAATGGCATTGCTCATGTCCAACAGTCAATCTGTGTCAGCTGCACACAGCACAACATAAACGTGGCATTGGTTGATGGCCTGAAGGATCACAGGGTCTTCTGTGCTTGCGTGCTTCAGCATGATCTTCATTGTCGTGCTTTGCACTTGTCAGACAACCAGTGGATGAGTCCTGATGCTGCTTGAGGCAGCTCAAAAAGCAGGACAAAATACAAGCACCGGCTCCTCTACTGTCAACATCACTGCCCGCAACATGCCAGGGGCATTGCTTGCATGTCCTGTTGACAACGCTCATGCATGGAAGCACCAACCCCTGCTGCTGCAGTGCGTGGATCAGGGATAGTGGGTGAGAAACATAGGAAAACAGGTCAAGTTCTGGCAAAAGGAGTTTGTCCTTCCTGCATGTGAGTGTGGCAGTGTTGATGTTATTCAAACGCTGGGCCACTCAGCAACTTCTGTACTTTTCAGCGACCGCATTCCACACTTGCGATCCGGCACAGTCAAACTACCTTGATCTGCATGAGTGGCATATTAGTCGTGGTTCACAAACAAAACTGTGCCCATCCCGACATCCCAAAGTGAATGTTCCATCGTCTGCGTCTACGGCTCGTGCAATGGGATACAGGCTGCATAAATTCATCAGGTCAGCACACCGATCTGTCACAAGTTCGTGGCGTTTGGTCAGACTTCTACCTGCCATGTGTCGCGGGACACAATGACATCCACAGGGAATCCATACACGGTACCCCTTTGGGATGTGCACAAACATGAGCGATGGTGCTTGCCAAGTTGCAACCAGCACAAGCTTCCATTCTAGGCCTCCAAAGGGCGCGGGCATCCTAGTGAATGAATAAGGCCCAGGTGCACGTTACATGTGCCACCTCGAGGCAGTACACTATTAAAACAGCGCTCCGAAGTATGCATGGTTGCCAAACCCCTTGACAGCAACACACCACCATTACAGGGGGACTCGCAAACAGAAAACACAACTGACAGCACAGGGCGACACAAAAACACATGCACGTTCACAGATGCCAGCCCTCCTGATGAGGAAGCATGGCCACGTCAGCTCACCTCCTCAGCCTGGTCTACCGATGCGCCCTTTTCCAACAGCAGCGCCACGGTGCTTGTGTGGCCATCTCTTGTGGCCACAGTGAGGGCTGTCCTGCCATCCTATGCATCACACACAATGACGAGCAGGTCAAAGGGCTCTCGGGACCTAAAGCAATAGACCAACACCAGTTTGCGTCGATGCGCCTTTCAGCGAGTTTCAACAGGTGCGTTCATAGAGTGCAATACGTTGTAGCACGGTAGCATCATGTGAATTGTGCAGCGGACATCACCGCCATGGTTCAATTCAACAATGTCAAATACATGGGCCTAGAAAAGTGCCCAAGAAAGCTTTCCCTCTGCTGTGCAGCAAGAAAAGCACGAAGAGCACAAAAATGAGCAAGCCAGATCAGGAACTCCTAGTCCAGTGAAAAACGCTCAGTGCTTGCTTGGCAGCCCCTTCTTCACAATGGCATTGCTCATGTCGAACAGTCAATCTGTCTCAGCAGCATACTGCACAACATAAAAGTGGCAGTGGTTGATGGCCTGAAGGATCACACGGCCTTCAGTGCTTGCGTGCTTCAGCATGATCGTCATTGTCGTGCTTTGCACTTGTCGCACAGCCAGTGGATGAGACCTGATGGTATGTGAGGCAGCGCAAAGTGCAGGACAAAATACAAGCTATACAGCTGCCGGTGTCTGTCAACATGACTGCCCGCAACATGCCAGGGGCAATGCTTGCGTGTCCTGTTGACAACGGTCATTCATGGAAGCACCAACCCCTGCTGCTGCAGTGCGTGGATCAGGGATAGAGGGTGAGAAACATATGAAAACAGGTCAAGTCCTGGGGAAAGGAGTTTGTCCTTCCTGCATGTGAGTGTGGCAGTGTTGATGTTATTCAAACGCCGGGCCACTCAGCAACTTCTATACTTTTCTGCGTCCACATTCCACACTTGCGATCTGACACAGTCAAACTACCTTGATCTGCATGAATGGCATATTAGTCGTGGTTCAGAAACAAAACTGTACCTATCCCAACATCCCAACAAGCATGTTCCTTCGTCTGCGTCTACGCCTCATGCGATAGGATTCAGGTTGCACACAGTCATCAGGTCAGCACACCGATCTGTCACATTTTCATGGCGTTCGGTCAGAATTCTACCTGCCACGTGTCGCGGGACACACTGACATCCACAGGGAATCCATACACGGTACACCTTTGGGATGTGCACATGCACAAGCGATGGTGCTTGCCAAATTGCAACCAGCACAAGCTTCCAGTCTAGGCCTCCAAAGGGCGCGTGCATCCTAGTCAATTAATAAGGCCCAGCTGTACGTTACGTGTGTCACCTCGACGCAGTACATTATTAAAACAGCGATCCGAAGTATACATGGTTGCCAAACCCCTTGACAGCACCACACCACCATTACAGGGGGACTAGCAAACAGACAACACAACTGACAGCGCAGGGCGACACAAAAACACATGCACGTTCACAGATGCCAGCACTACTGATGAGGAAGAAATGCCACGTCAGCTCACCATCGTAGCCTGGTCTACCGATGCGCCCTTTTCCAACAGCAGCGCCACGGTGCTTGTTTCGCCATTGTCTGCAGCCCAAATGAGGGCCGTCCAGCCATCCTATGCATCACAAACAATGACGAGAAGGTCAAAGGCCTCTCAGGACCCAAAGCAATAGACAAACACCAGATTGGGTAGATGCGCCTTTCAGCGAATTTCAACAGGTGCGTCCATAGAGTGCAGTACGTTGCAGCATGGCAGCATCCTGTGAATTGTGCAGCGGACGTTACCGCCAACGTTTGCATCAACAATGTCAAAAATTTGGGCCTAGAAAAGTGCCGAAGAAAACTTTCGCCTGAGCTATGCCGCCGGGAAAAGCACCAACAGCACAAAAATGGGCAAACCAGACCGGGGACTCCTAGTCCAGTGAAAAACGCTCAGTGTTGCTCGGCAGCCCTTCTTCACAATGGCATTGCTCACGTCGAACAGTCAATCTGTCTCAGCTGCATACTGCTCGACATAAAAGTGGCAGTGGGTGATGGTCTGAAGGATCACACGGTCTTCTGTGCTTGCATGCTTCACCATGGTCGTCATTGTCATGCTTTGCACTTGTCACACAACCAGTGGATGAGTCCTGATGCCTCTTGAGGAAGCTCAGAGTGCAGGACAAAATACAAGCACCAGATCCTCTACAGTCAACATCACTGCCTGCAACCTGCCAGGGGCATTGCTTGCGTGTCCTGTTGACAACGCTCATCCATGGAAGCATCAATCCCTGCTGCTGCAGTGCGTGGATCAGGGATAGAGGGTGAGAAACATAGGAAAACAGGTCAAGTTCTCGTGCAAGGAGTTTGTCCTTCCTGCATGTGAGTGTGGCGGTGTTGTTGTTATTCAAACGCCAGGCCACTCAACACTTCTATACTTTTCAGCGTTGACATTCCACACTTGCGATCCGGCACAGTCAAGCTACTTTAATCTGCATGAATGGCATATTAGTCGTGGTTCAGAAACAAAACTGTGCCTATCCTGACATCCCTACATGCATGTTCCATCGTCTGCGTCTACGCCTCGTGCAATGGGATGCAGGTTGCAGAAATTCAACAGGTCGGCACACCGATCTGTCACAGTTTCGTGGCGTTCGGTCAGACTTCTACCTGCCATGTGTCGCACGACACTCTGACATCCACAGGGAATCCATACACGGTACACCTTTGTGATGTGCACAAGCACAAGCCAGGGTGCAAGTTGCAACCAGCACAAGCTTCCATTCCATGCCTCCAAAGGGCGCGTGCATCCTAGTGAATGAATAAGGCCCAGGTGCACGTTACAAGTGCCACCTCGAGGCAGTACACTATTAAAACAGCGATCCGAAGTATGCATGACTGCCAAACCTGTTGACAGCACTACACCACCATTACAGGGGGACTCGCAAACAGACAACACAACTGACAGAGCAGGGCGACACAAAAACACGTGCACGTTCACAGATGCCAGCCCTACTGATGAGGAAGAAAGGCCACGTCAGCTCACTCTATCAGCCTGGTCTACCGATGCGCCCTTTTCCAACAGCAGCGCCACGATGCTTGTATTGCCATTCCTTGCGGCCCAAATGAGGGCAGTCCGGCCAGACTATGCATCACACACAATGACGAGCAGGTCAAAGGGCTCTAGGGACCCAAACCAATAGACCAACACCAGTTTGGGTCGATGCGCCTTTCAGCAAGTTTCAACAGGTGCGTTCATAGAGTGCAGTACGTTGCAGCATGGTAGCATCATGTGAATTGTGCAGCGGACAGCACCGCCTTCGTTCCAATGAACAAGGTCAAATATTTGGGCCTAGAAAGGTGCCGAAGAAAACTTTCGCCTGAGCTACGCGGCGAGAAAAAGAGAGAAGAGCTCAAAAATGAGCAAGCCAGACCGGGAACTCCTAGTCCAGTGAAAAACACTCAGTGCTTGCTTGTCAGCCCTTTCTTCACAATGGCGCTGATCACGTCGAACAGTCAATCCGTCTCAGATGCATACTGCACAACATAAAAGTGGCAGTGGTTGATGGCCTGAAGGATCACACGGTCTTCTGTGGTTGCGTGCTTCAGCATGATCGTCACTGTCATGCTTTGCACTTGTCAGACAACCAGAGGATTAGTCCTGATGCTGCTTGAGGCAGCTCAAAGTGCAGGACCAAATACAAGCGCCGGCTCCTCTACAGTCAACATCACTGCCCGCAACATGCCAGGGGCGCATTGCTGCGTCCCGTTTGAGGTCCTGCCATTCGAGGCACCAACCCTCAAGCCGCAGGCCAGGATAGAGGGTGAGAAACATAGGAAAACAGGTCAAGTTCTCGGGAAAGGAATTTGTCCTTCCGGCATGTGAGTGTGGCAGTATTGATGTTATTCAAACGCCAGGCCACTCAGCAACTTCTATATTTTTCGGCGTCCACATTCCACACTTGCGATACGGCACAGTCAAGCGACCTTGATCTGCATGAATGGCATAATAGTCGTGGTTCAGAATCAAAACTGTGCCTATCCCGACATCCCAACATGAATGTTCCATCGTCTGCATCTACGCCTCGTGCAATAGGATTGAGGTTGCACAAATTCATCAGGTCAGCACACCGTTTTGTCACAATTTCGTGGCGTTCGGTCAGACTTCTACCTGTCATGTGTCGCAGGACACACTGACATCCACAGGGAATCCATACACGGTACACCTTTGGGATGTGCACAAGCATGAGCGATGGTGCTTGCCAAGTTGCAACCAGCACAAGCTTCCATTTTAGGCCTCCAAAAGGCGCGTGCATCCTAGTGAACGAATAGTGCCCAGGTGCACATTACTTGTGCCACCTCGAGGCAGTACACTATTAAAACAGCGCTCCGAAGTGCGCATGGTTGCCAAACCCCTTGACATCCGGAAATTGGGATGGAGTTACAACAACGTTGACGGGCCTTGATGGTAATGTGACCTTGCGTCAATCGTATTCAGCATTGATGCAGGGCCTACGCATCAGCGTGCCAGCAACGCTCTCGTTCGTCAATGCTGCTGGAACACATCCCTGGCAATGTTATGACAACGGTGAGGTTGCCATCAGCGTTGCTGTGAGACCTCCCACATCCAAGCTGCGTCGACATGCAAACGATCAGTTGTTATCAATGTTTCTAGAACCCTGGGTTGCCAGCAACGTTGACACGATGCGTGTTTCTGAAAGGCGCAACAACGTTGACGGAAAACCCCACTCTTTCTGCTTTGATGGAAGACCCCCCGCTCTTGGTGCTGGCCCAAGGGCTCGAGTGTTCGCTTCACGGACACAGTGGCAAGGACTGCTGGGTGAGATACGAATTAAGTTGTAGCTGTTCGATTTTCGGCCTCGGCTGTTGTGCGGTGGTTTTTGCCATTTTGTTGCCCCGTTTCCACGAGAACGGGCCTCCGGGACGTTGGCCCCAACACACACGACATGCGTGCATGGCGGGGCAGGAGGTGCGTGGGGATGCTGGGCGTGCGGGTGGGCTGGGAATGGCTGAGGGCAGCGCAGAGTGCAGCGGCACACTCGGCGTTTTTGCAATTCACAAGTTGCTGGGCTTGGCCAAACGGGGAGTGGGTGGGCTGGGCCAGATGGGGAGCTAGCGAGGATCGCCCCTGCTAGGCGATCTCCAGTGCAGGCGGGCATGAACCGTGGGGTTGCGGCATGGCAAGCCACAGCCATTGGCGCACAGTGTGGGCCTGTGCGCAACGCATTTTAATGGGCGGCTGCCGATGCCAATGCCGACGCTGGGGCTTCCCTTGTAAGTCAGTGAAGAAGTGTGCTAGAGGCGGGAAGGTTCCTCGGCTGCTCCAGGCAGCCCGTGTTCCCTTCGTTCTTGGGCTGGCACATCACGTGGGCTCGCAGGGGCCCACGGCTTGGGCGTTTTTCGGACTGGAGGTGGCGGCCGTACATCGGTGCGGTGCGCAATAGAGAGGGGGGGGGGTGCTGACATCAGTTTTCATGGAGATTGTAGCTGGGTGCCCTCCTGGCGTGGATTCAAAGATTTCGAGCCTTGACGCCGCTCCGTCACCAGCTGTTCTCCGCCCCTCCCCCGTGTTTTCGCCTCGAAAGGCGGCGATCCCACAGCACTGGCGGCGGTGGCGGCGGCGGCGGCGGAGATGGCGATGTGCTCTGAGAATGTGCGCGGCATGGGCGATGGCACCAGGGTTACCGCGAGGTGAGGAAACCAGATCTGACTCATGGTTGTGAGTGGCGGCGGCGGCCCCCCCGTCCTCAACAACAGGAGCATGCGTCCTGGACCGTGCGCGGGGCCTATCGTGGGAGTGGGCATGGTGCTGTCGCGTGCTGATCCCGCTGAGCTCTACATTGTTTGGAATTTGAGAGGCTGGACGCGAGTACCGCCGCCCCCGCCCCCGCTGCCGCTCTTGCCGCCGCCGCCGCCACTGCCACCACCGCTGCCGCCGCTGCCACCAAATGTGTCACTGCCCCTTTTAAGTGTCCAAGTGTGCTTAAGGGTTGAAATATGTCGATACAAATTAGCACAATTGGAACCTTGCTAGCAACAAGCGCATGGCAGGCAATGAGACACATTTGCTGACATTGCGAACCCACCAGGTCTTTGACGATTGTTTGAGGGGTAGTACCGTTGGAGTATCCATAAAAGCAAGAAGGGAAATGCTGTAATATGTGAACACATCTTGATGTGTGCACTTGTGTGGACTGCACTCATGCTGACAGGTGCACAGGTGTCGGCGATTGCAGATGGATGTTGATTTGATGGGAACACTGTGCACTAATACTTGCACCAATGGAAGGGGGTGGCCTGGGTGCTTGTAAATCGCCCATCGCACAAGAGGCCAGGAGATGTCTATTTGGATTCCTATGGAACCTATGGTGACAATCAGGTATTCCTCTGTTGGGTCGATCCAGGGCTGCAAATCTCATAGCTTCACTGTTGAGACTGCTGCGCGGAACCTCTTTCTTAGCAAGAGAAAGCTCACCCAGCGGAATGCTTGTTGTAACCTGTGATGGGCTGTTGCTGAGTGGCAACTTGTGCATTATGGTCCATCAGCTGCAGACCAGCTCGTCTGCGAACTGCGCATGAGCAACATGCCATGCTCTCTGCCCCTGCCCCCCTTCTGTCCGCCGTGTTGACCTTCAGGATGAAGAATTCGAAATGTTTGTTGACAACAGGAGCATGCATTTGTGCCCTGCAGTTTTGGTATATGCTGCTGTGCCTAGCAGCCCTTGAAGCATGGCTGCGGCTTCCCATCGATGACAGCACATATGGCGAGGATATTGTGCTTAAGGCCAATGACTGGCATGCGTCCCTTGTGCCTGTCTGCATGGGAGCTAAGTATCAACCAGGGGGAGTCTACCTGGTTGCCAGGAGGATCTTGGCGATCCACAGCTGGAGGCACCAGGTATCTGCATTAGCATTGTCATACATCATCATCATCATCGTGGGACCAAGATTGTGATGTTTGTTATTTGTCTGTGATAGACATATACAGTAATCCTGCAGTACTTGTCACTCCTTTGCTGCAGGTTGTGGCTGAGCCCTTGGAGACATGTGACAACAGTTTGCATCATGAATCTGCCTTTTATGGATTGGCCAATACCTTGAGGGGACCTGCCTTCTAGCAGCTAGCTAATGCAGGACTTATCTTCCTCTGAGCTATGGCAGGGGCCTAATGGAGACGATCGGTGGTCTTAGAAAAGCTACCTTTGCTTGACCAGTGTGCAAAAATGCAATGTGTAAGGCTGCAACTGCATCTACTATGCTGCTCATGTACGGTCCCACTGCTGTGTGTGTCGTTTTGTGGGATCCGGTCTGCGGGCTCACCTACTCCATTTCTGTCAGAACAATGTGGGTGCTTGGATGTTGCTGAGAGAAGAATTGGAGGTTGAGGAAACTAATGGTCATGTGTTGCGGTAGAGGGTCAGATCAGCTGGACATCTGCAAGGATTGATGTTTTGCGCACACCAGCCCATGCCATTGATGCCAACGAGGGGGTCGCTGGGTGCAGTCTTCGATATCAGTTCACTCTGACAATGGCTGCGTGCCTTCTTGGCGACATCGCATCTTGGTTCGGCGGGAAGCAGTTTGTTAGCACAGTGGGTTTGTTCTTCGTTGGATGATGGTTCAGCTGCAAAGCAGTTTGCTAGTATTGTGGGTCTGTTAGCATAGCAATGCACAATGTGTACACACATGAATGTACATGAATGTGACATGAATGTAGGGCTCTAGTGGGGGTGTGTTCAGGAAATGTATGTGGTTTGGGCATGTGGTATGGACATTGCATGTAATGATCAACCTTGCGACAAGTCGTGTCAAAGCAGCATTGCTGCAAGCTGCCATCCAGCAGCGTTGCATCGACCTAGTGTGGGCCAATGTTGCAGCAACACGCATCACAACAACGTTGCAGCAGCACGCATCACAACAACGTTGCAGCAGCACGCATCACAACAACGTTGCAGCAACACCCATCACAGCAACGTTGCAGCAAAACATCAGCAATAGTGCTTGACAGCAACATTGCAGCAATGGTGGCGTTGCCGCATCATTGATATGCACGTCTTGCGTCAACGTCGCCCAATAGGAACCCGTGTCACTGTCTCCCAGCGGTACCATTACCATCAAGGCCCATCAACGTTGCTGCAACACCATCCCAATTTTCAGATGGACAGTACCACACCACCATTACAGGGGGACTCACAAACAGAAAACACAACTGACAGCGCAGGGCAACACAAAGCACCTGCACGTTCACAGATGCCAGCCCTATTGATGAGGAAGAAAGGCCACGTCAGCTCACCTCCTCAGTCTGGTCTACCAATGAGCCCTTTTCCAACAGCAGTGCCACGGTGCTCGTGTGGCAATCTCTTGCGGCCACAGTGAGGGCTGTTCTGCCATCCTATGCATCACACACAATGACGAGCAGGTCAAAGCGCTCTCGGGACCCAAGCCAAACGACCCACACCAGGTTCGGTGGATGCTCGTTTCAGCGAGTTTAAACAGGTGCGTTTGTAGTGTGCAATACGTTGTAGCAGGGTAGCATCATGTGAGTTGTGCAGCGGACATCACCGCCATCGTTCAAATCAACAATGTCAAATATTTGGGCCTAGAAAAGTGCCCAAGAAAACTTTCGCCTGAGCTATGCAGCAAGAAAAAGCACAAAGAGCGCATAAATGAGCAAGCCAGACCGGGAATTCCTAGTCCAGTGAAAAACGCTAAGTGCTTGATTGGCAGCCCTTTCGTCACAATGGCACTGATCACGTCAAACAGTCAATCTGTCTCAGATGCATACTGCACAACATAAACGTGGCATTGGTTGATGGCCTGAAGGATCATACGGTCTTCTGTGTCTGCGTGCTTCAGCAAGATCGTCATTGTCGTGCTTTGCATTTGTCACACAACCAGTGGATGAGTCCTAATGCTGCCTGAGGCAGCTCAAAGTGCAGGACAAAATACAAGCACCGGCTCCTCTACTGTCAACACCACTGCCCGCAACATGCCAGGGGCATTGCTTGCGTGTCCTGTTGACAACCCTCATCCATGGAAGCACCAACCGCTGCTGCTGCAGTGCATGGAGCAGGGACAGAGGGTGAGAAACACAGGAAAACAGGTCAAGTTCTCGTGAAAGGAATTTGTCCTTCCTGCATATGAGTGTGTCAGTGTTGATGTTATTGAAACGCCGGGCCACTCAGCAACTTCTATACTTTTCAGCGTCCACATTCCACACATGCGATCCGGCACAGTCAAGCGACCTTGATCTGCATGATTGGCATATTAGTCGTGATTCAGAATCAAAACTGTGCCTATCCCGACATCCCAACATGAATGTTCCATCGTCTGCGTCTCCGCCTCGTGCAATGGGATACAGGTTGCACAAATTCATCAGGTCAGCACACCGATCTGTAACAAGTTCGTGGCGTTCGGTCAGACTTCTAACTGCCATGTGTCGCGAGACACACTGACATCTACAGGGAATCCATACACGGTACACCTTTGTGATGTGCACAAGCACAAGCCAGGGTGCTTGCCAAGTTGCAACCAGCACAAGCTTCCAGTCTAGGTCGCTCCAAATTTCTACAAAGGGCGCGTGCATCCTAGTGAATTAATAAGGCCCAGGTGCCTGTTATGTGTGCCACCTCGAGGCAGTACACTATTAAAACAGTGCTCCGAAGTATGCATGGTTGCCAAACCTCTTGAGAGCACCACACCACCATTACAGGGGGACTCGCAAACAGACAACACAACTGACAGCGCAGGGTGACACAAAAACACCTGCACGTTCACAGATGCCAGCCCTACTGATGAGGAAGAAAGGCCACGTCAGCTCACCATCGTAGCCTGGTCTACCGATGCGCCCTTTTCCAGCAGCAGCGCCACGGAGCTTGTTTCGCCATTGCTTGCAGCCCAAATGAGGGCCGTCCAGGTATCCTATGCATCACACACAATGACGAGCATGTCAAAAGGCTCTCAGGACCCAAACCAATAGACCAACACCAGCTTGAGTCGATGCGCCTTTCAGCAAGTTTCAACAGGTGTGTTCATAGAGTGCAGTACGTGTTAGCAAGGTAGCATCATGTGAATTGTGCAGCGGACATCACCGCCATCGTTCACATCAACAATGTCAAATACTTGGGCCTAGAAAAGTGCCCAAGAAAACTTTCGCCAGAGCTATGCGGCAAGGAAAAGCACAAAGAGCACAAAAATGAGCAAGCCAGACCGGGAACTCCTAGTTCAGTGAAAAGCGCTCTGTGCTTGCTTGGCAGCCCTTTCTTCACAATGGCATTGCTAACGTCGAACAGGCAATCTGTCTCAGCCGCATACTGCACAACATAAAAGTGGCAGTGGTTGATGGCCTGAAGGATTACAGGGTCTTCTGTGCTTGCGTGCTTCAGCAAGATCGTCATTGTCATGCTTTGCATTTGTCACACAACCAGTGGATGAGTCCTGATGCTGCTTGAGGCAGCTCAAAGTGCAGGATAAAATACAAGCACCGACTTTTCTACTGTCAATATCACTGCCCGCAACATGGCAGGGGCATATTGCTTGCGTGTCCTGTTGACAACGCTCATCCATGGAAGCACCAACCCCTGCTGCTGCAGTGCGTGGATCAGGGATAGAGGGTTAGAAACATAGAAAACAGGTCAAGTTCTCGCAGGAGTTTGTCCTTCTTGCATGTGGGTGTGGCAGTGTTTTTGTTGTTCAAACGCCGGGCCACTCAGCAACTTCTATACTCTTCAGCGTCCACATTCCACACTTGCGATCCGGCACAGCCAAACGACCTTAATCTGCATGAATGGCATATTAGTGGTGGTCCAGAAACAAAAGTGTGCCTATCCAGACAACCCAACAAGAATGTTCTGTCGTCTGCGTCTATGCCTCATGCAATGGGATAGAGGTTGCAGAAATTCAACAGGTCAGGACACCGATCTATCAAAATTTTCATGGCGTTCCTGGTGCTTGCCAAGTTGCAACCAGCATGAACTTCCATTCTAGGCTTCCAAAGGCCACACATTGGGACGCCTTGCATGGAAGTGAAGGGACTTGACTTACAATGCAAAAAATGTGTTCCCACATTTTCTTGTAAGTAAGACTGAAGGTGGGCACATCGCGAGCTTGATGGCAACCATGCATGGTAATATATGCTGCCTGTGAACATCTTGCTCTATGCTGACATTCACAAAGCCAAATTACGTTTCCACATTGGATACCTATGCCCCATGGGAAACCAAATACCATGCTAAGTTAACATCCAATGGGTAGGCCCACAACAGTTGGCAAAACCCAGTAAGCACTGCATTGCTGCCGGTGATCACATCATTTCACTAACAGGCAGGAGCCATGTCCCTGCAACCCTCAGCAGAATCTTACATCTTCGCGCTCCTGAACTGCTCCCAATGCTCCTGGCAGCTTGACACCACTCAACTCTGTTGCCTGACGTGTGGATTTGTTCGTCTCCTGTTACAGTCCAAAACACAATCAGTGAAGACAACAATACAAAGCCCCAAACCACAACATTTCAGCTGCTGTACCAGAACGAGACAAACTGTGCTTGGTAAGCATCAGTGAGTATGGCAACGAGTGGCAGTTGTGAACTCCAAAGCTGGCCCCTTGCCGCCTACCACTATATGCTGTGCGCACCTTCCCTAAAAATTGCAATCGATTCCAAGCTGGTGCCGGCTCCTGCAGGACAAAGCGAACAAACACATGAAATTGGGAATTCTGGACCACAATATCTGGCAATGTTACATCCAAAACTGCTAGACTGCTGCGATCTGTGAAGTGACGTTGTCAACTTCAGGTTCTGACCGGCACAAAGCCAAATCAACATTTTTATACCAAGAGATGGCAAGCTGCTTCAAAACTGCCTCAAAGCTGTGGCAAATGAAGCCCAGTGACAGGTCTAGAAAGTTGTGATTCTATCTGTTATGCAGGAAGCAAGTGCACCATACAAAAATAAATCAATGGAATCGGGCATATTACCCGCACCCCTTGCCCACAAGGGTGCCACTGCTGCAGCACGTCATCCACAGTCTGCATGCAAGGCCTGTCCTCAGGTTGAGGCAAACAACATCGTTCCATTATGTCAAGCACTTCGTCAGGCCATTGTCGCCTGATGTCCTCAGGAATGTTGAACGGTTGCTTTCCATCCATCTTGGCTTTCATAATCGCAGCTTCAGAGCTCTTCTTTCCATATGGCACCTCTTCCATCACCAGCTCATAGGCAGTGCACCCAAGCCCAAACACATCAGACTTGAAAGTCATGGCATCTTGTTCATACATCTCTTTGGCCACCCAGCGTCCAGTCACTGGGGTAGAAATGAAATCTTTGTACCAACACTTGATAAACAGTGGGAGATCAGCAATCTTGACAATGCAGTCTTCAGGTTCCGCCCCAAACAACAGAAAATTGCTGCTGTTCACATTTCCATACACCATGCCCCAGGAATGGACAGAATGCAGGGCTCTTGCTGCTTGGGCCAGAACCCTGAGCTTCAAACGAACCTTTTCTTCATCAGCAAATGCAGCCACCCATGTACACCATTGATTCAGGTTGCATGTTGCCAGGTCCATGAGTATGGCTCCCGACCTCGTAACACCGTGCAGCTTGACACTGTACCTTGGATCTAAAGATGCATGGTATGCATCCGTGTGCAGCTTTTGAAAATCCTCCAGCCTCATATACCCCTTCTCAAGAGGAACCAATTGCTTTCCTGCCAACTTGGTTCCCCTCCATCTGACTTCATAGACACTGCCAGCAATTCTATTTTCCCAAATTACCTCATCTTCTGGTATGGTATCCAGCTGCCGCCTGTTTTCCTCAAAACAATGCTTCACCAATTCCCACTGGCTCTCTGCCTGTCTGTCACCCACGTACAGGTCCAGTGACCTGCGTTCAAAAACGTGCCCAAGCACTTTGGTCATGGCTTCTGCATCTTTCTCTACATACTCTAGCGGAACCACACTAGGAGTTTCAGTGCCGCAGGGCAGCTCCCATTTGCACACAAAATAGCTGATGGCCCTGAGCGCATGCTCCACGGCAGCACATGTGTCATCAGTCCTATTGAGAATGGCAACATCAAAGCAACTGTGCTCCCTGACCAGCTGCAGTGCAGCCTTCATGTCATACAGCAACAATGTCAAGTCGTTCCTCCAAGCTGCAACACTGCCCCCCTCCGGCATCCTTAAAGTTTTCTGTGCCAAGGGACGGATCTTGTGCTGCAAGAACTTGACCATGTTCTGGCTGTACAGCACTTTTGGCACATCTGCTATTGCTTGCATCACCTCCCGAATTCGAACCTCCAGTTGGCCAACCTGGACAATGGCAACCATTGGTCATACTGCACGTCAGAAGAGCAAACAATCAAGAAAATCAATCATAATGGATGAACTATTCGATTATATCAAACTCACCATTTCACGATGTCTGCATATTAGCATGCAAGATGACCACAGTCCTTGGCATTTATCACATCCCAGGGCAGGCCAACAAAAGCACAGCTTTGGTGTGGACGACACAATCTTTCCTGAGCATATTTCTGACAGAAAGAATTGCAGGACATTGACGATCAGTACCACATTCTGCCAAGCACATACTGCACTGGAATCTATGTGTCTGCTGCCCAGATTGTCACAGATACAGCATACAGCATCAAGGAACTGGGAATGTCAACTATCGTACATTAGCCTGCTCTGTGCAGACTTCCTCAACTACAGTCACTTCTGGCTGATGCTGGTATGACATGAGGATGTCAGCTTGGTTTGTTCTTCTAACCCAATGCTCAATGCTCTCTTTGAACAAGTCAGAAGCAGCAGCTGAAGCAAAATCAACCTGTCACATCAGAAGCAAACATACAGCATTCAACGAATGGAAAGCACAGCTCAAACTCTTACCACAGTGGGGGCATGCAAACGACCACAATCAACAACTGACAAAAAACGGCAGTTGTCCAGCAGCCAGAATAGATGCAAAGCGGACACAAGTTCAAGCTGCTTGGTATTGTCTTCAGCAAAGATGAAACACTGCAGCTGAAAGTTTCCAATCTATGGACATGTTCTGAATCACATTCTGGGTGTCCAGTTTCCTCTGCCCGTTTGGATTGTCATCTGCTTGAGACGTTATTCACCTTGAAATAAAGAACAAGTGATCCCTTGGCCATGGCCACAAAAGAAACTAATGCGCAAAAGCCAGTCACAAGTGCTGCATTCTTCTTCACCAGTGTTCCCAGTTTTGTCCGAACTGAAGCCAGTGCCCCTCGGTTCTGCTCAGAACTGACACCATCGAATCGTATCTTCAATGTTTGTGACACAACAATTGGCCTCTCACTGTTCTCCTGCAGGTCAAACATATCAACTTTAAAGTAGCCAAAGTGTGTGCCAACATTGCAGTCAACTATTGAAGGGGACTGTATCCTTCTCCATTTGAACAGCTCAGTGCAGGAGGAAAAGCTTCTCCCTAGAACGGTCTGGATTACACACATGTATGCCACACTGTAAGAACTAGGCAATCTTTTTCCCCTGAAGACTTGGGCACAGGATAATGCCCAGCAACGATTTGCCAAATTTTGCCAAAGTAACACATTTTGCAGCTGCCACCAATGGTGATAATCTGGCAATAGAGCCACCATTGTCACAGGCAGAAATTTCAGGTCACATAAGCTGGTTTCCAACATAAAGCACCCACAAGGCTGGCCAGAAGGAGCAGAGATGCAAGCAAAAGCCCTAGAATCACCCCCCCATAGCTAGTCACTGTTTTCTGCGGTAGCCAATCGGACGTTGACAGCCACAGCTACTCAAAAGCAGCTGTGTGATCGTGATTAAAACTATGCATCTGCCTTGATCCACAACTGCGAATTGGCGCTCTTTTATGGTAGCACAGAGGACTGCAATTTGTATGCTTGCCACTGCTCTGACAATGATTGCCACGAGATTCACAGTAACTGGTTCTGACAGGCAACATAAGGCAGGTGCTGACGGGGATGATACTCATCAATTCCCTATACACAAATACTCTGGTGGAAACCAGTTGATGCAAAAAGACTGGCACAAGCTTGCTCTATATCAACAAGAACAGAATCAATGCAAACCCCACGAAGCGGAGGATTGCCAAAAACTAGTCAAGTTCATCGTTTTTGAAAGCTGCGGCCAGTTCAGGGAGCCAAGCACCATCCCACACACACAATGACCCAATCTCTAAGGGAATTCATGCTGTGCAGAATATTTCTCCTGTGGTTTCCATCCCTACAAATCAACTGCTGGAGGGGCCTGAAGCAGACACTGCGTGTCCAGCTTGGTGACATCTTGAGGTCCCAGGAACAGTTGCTTGCACTGTGAAGCAAGAAGGCCTGCAGCTCCCCAACGTGAGAACGGTGCCACAATTGTTTTTAACATTCACAGGCCCAGTGTCTCATTTCCACCAAGAAAGTTCCCGGAAACAGCATTCTTTGGTGCAAAAGGAACAACACATAGGTTACGTGTAGCTTGTGCACAGGGGCAACTGCCCCACCTGTGGCTCTGGCCGTGTCGCCTGACAGCCACCAGGAGGTGAAGCCTGCTCATGCACAGCAGCAGTTACCACTATCTGAAACAACAGCAACAACTGAATATGCCAAACACACAATAACAGAATGCTTCGAGTTGAGCACAATGTTTGCTTCACCTCTGCTATTTGCCTGGACAGCAACCTCTGAGATTGATACAACGTACTTGGGATCTTGCCTGATCCAGTCAGAACCTGCATGGCAACATCTTTGTAGGAAGCATAATCCTTTCTTATGAGAAAGCTGCATCCACACCACACATCCAGAAACAAGGAAACAATATGTACTGGACAAAACGCAACATTTGCAAGCCAGACATTCAAGCTGTACCAGTGCTGGTCACACAAGCAGACCAGTACTGGGGCTGTAGCACCGCAATGCGATGCATTACCTCAGATTCCCAAGCTGTTGGCAAGTTTTGCAGACAGCTGACGACTTCTGCCATTTTGGGCCTCTTCTCTGGGTTGAGATCGCAGCAACGTCTCATGAGGGTCAGCATTTCAGGAGGGCAGTCAGTTGGTTGAACACGGCAAGGCTCCTTCCCTGCAAGTTTGATATTCATCAAATGGAGGCAATTTTGTTGAATACCAGGATAGGGCTTCAGGCCAGTCACGATTTCGTACATTACCACCCCCAAACTAAAAACATCTGAAGCAGCAGTGAGTGGTTTGCCTTCGTAAATCTCTGGAGCAACCCAAAGGGGTGTGCCACCCCCTTTTCTGATGGTCCTGCTTCTGTTGTCCATAAGAGCAAAAGTCTGACCAAAATCGCTTATTTTTACTTGGATGCCTCCAGACTGTGTGCCAAACACCAAGAAATTCGCAGATTTTACGTCGCCATGCACAAAAATGGGTTCCTGACTGTGCAGGTGCTTCAATCCAGCAGCTGCCCCATGCAGTAAGATGCCCTTTGCTGACCAGCCCAAGCTTGCGTTTCTGCACTCTTTCTCCAAATTGCTGTTAGCAAGCTCCATCACCAGCCACCCAGATTTGGTGGCAGCATGCAGCTGCACAACATTACTGTGACTCAGAAGTGCTTGCCTAATGGCCTCATTGAGAAAACTTGCAAGTCCTTCAATGGACATGTTTCCCTTTGGCTTTTTTATTGCCACTCTGCCACCTCCCTCTGCCCATTCCCCCTCAAGCACGGTGCCCCAAGTGCCATCGGTGATCCTCTTTTTCTCCCGGATCTCGCTTTCATCAACAATATTCAAACTTTGCAGTCTTTTCTCATATTCATGCTTTAGGACAAGCCACTGCTGGGGCAAAGCTTGAGCAACATCGCCACGGACGCCTTTGATGATGTAACTCAGAAGTCCATGCAAATAATCCTCATCTGCCTCAACAGCGGAATCGGGGAGCATGCATTCAAGTTTGACAGATGTCTGCAAGCCCCATTTGAGGAGCAAATCCTTCACCCCTTCGCACACCACTTGAACGCCTTCCTTGGCATCCTGGGACGTGTAGAAGTTTTCGCTCTCAAACCCCCCCCGGTGCCTGGCAAGCAGATGCTCCCCTGTGCGCAGGTGGCGGTTGAAGGTATCAGTGTCCTCCTGCAATGCAGCTTCTGGCGGCTGCAGATCCCGCAGTTTGTCCAGCTCTCTGTCCAGAAAGAACATGATCCTGTGGTTGTAGTGGGAATGCGGATCCTTTGGGACCACCTATCAAGCACACGCAATTAACAAGTCCATACAAATTCGGTGGACAGCCATTTAGTATTAGGGGGATGAACAAAGCAGCAGAACTATGCCTCTCAAAATCACCTGGGCATGCGTTGTCTTTGCTGGCAGATATTTCAGGTTCGATGTGAGCCAGTGCTGTTCCACACACCGTCATCTTGTAGAAACTTGCATTTGAATTGAGCTGGTCAAACCAACTGGCCATGCACCTGCCTCTGGCTCGCTAATAGACAATGGATGAACCAGAGAACTCTACGGCTTTCCCACTGATGCGCATTTGTCATCGAAACCTTGCACACTGCCAAAGAACTGCAGAACAGCTAAACAGAACTACCCCTAATCTCCATCTAGACATGGGTCTCCTCCCACATACAGGTAATCTATTTCCTAATATCAATCCGATGTGCAGAAACGCATCCCAAGCATCGATGTTCTACAGAATGCACTCATTTTGTGGCATATCGTTTTCTTTACTGGCCACACTGAATGTACTGTCTTGCTACAACGTCTCACAGGACTGTGTGAAATGTGTGATGTTGACTCTCTGTTGACTCCCTGTTACATTTGCCACACATAGCGCACTGCAATTCATCAAAAGGCATGGACATACAATCGATTAACTTGCTTATTTTCCATCTCCAAAGCCCATCGGTCACCCAAAACCCGCAGTTGGATCTGATTCCAGTTCAATCACAACAGGCCACCCAAATGCATATTTCCTACCAACACATGCTCGAAGGCATTGTATGTTCTCATTCTGCTTTCAAATACTTCTGCAACATCTGTGGCACCATGGCACAGGGGTCTTGTCACCTTTATCATGGGACACAGAGGGACCCATTGTATCACATTCTTGTACAAAACGGATCGCGCGCCATGCCAGTGAGTGTTATGCATATCGCAGATTACTGGACATACAGACTGAAAAGTACATTGCAGCAGATGGTCAGCATGGTACAAGACAATGGTAACTTAGAACCAGAGGGACTGTCTTACAGCTCTTGCAAGTGCCCAGGGCATGAGATTCTCTGCAAGCCAAAGGATGCTAGGATAAGGACAGGGTCGCTATTGGCATCCACAGAACAGAAGAGACCAACAGCCAAGGTGGAGAGTGCGATAAGGAAAACTCAACAGGTTCCAAGAGCAAAGTGCGTTCATTGACCCACAGTACAGACCATACAATACTGACCATGTCAAGCCCGCTGATCGGGACATCATCTTCAGGATTTGACTCCTGGGCATGCGTTGCCATGGGATCATCAGCTGCTTAGTTGCCAACCTCCTGCTGTGAAACTGTTCACCAGCAACGCAACAGTGAGCGCGCGAAGTTTGGAACACAGAAGCCCCGAATACTGCCGTAGGTGTGCTGCAGGCCAAGCCCTCATAAACACATTGGTGTTCAAACGCACATAAATGCAGCCTGGCTTCAATGGAACGCTTGTCGCCTGCAGGTCAAACGCACCCCACGATCTAGCAAAGCTTCCTCGTCCACACAGGTAGCGAGCGAGCCTGGACAGCCCGCACTATACCCAATCGCCAAACCTTTGTTCCTTCAAGAGCGCAACCAAATAGCACAAGGGTCTCCACAAAATTCTTCAAACAGCCTGTCGGCGGCAAGCATTTGCAAGCAGTTGCTAACGGCCGTCCGCATTCTAACGCCTCTACATATACGGCCTCCCTCCTTCGAAATGTAGCAAACACATACAGAGGACCTTCGCGAACTGGGCGCGCTGGGTGCATTCAAAAGAGAAGAACTGCACAGGAAGGGGAGAGGCATCATAACGCACCCTAAGAGTGAGAAGCTGCCACCCGGCAAGGTGAACATCGCCGCACGGAGCCATTTTCAGAAGGGCATGTTCTCACAACCACCATCCCAAGGTTATGCCGAAAGTAAGGTCGTGCCGTGAGTATGGTCATCCCTAAAGTTCCCAATCGGCTGCAGAGGAAGATCGGTGCCGCAGATCTGATCCGATCGCCTTCGCACACACCCGCCCCGGCGCAACCTCCTGCAGCCGCTTCCGCCGACAAATATTCCGGGGTTCCGGAGCACCGAAAGGCGCCTTATCAGCATTCACCACACGCGCATTCACCTTCGACGCGAACTTCCGTGGGGCGCCAAACGCAGCTTCCGCCCGGATAGAGGCGGGTGGCCGCCGAATTGCCGTCTTCGTGCACCTCAGAGTTTCCCAAAGCCAATTCAGCCATGCCAAGCCGTCATGGCGGCGGGCAACACCCGACACGCTGTACCAGCCGCTTGGAGGTCCCGGAGGGTGTCGCCGAGCAGGTGAAACCCACACGCCTCAGGATGAGGCGCGAGCTATATGGAAGGATGGGCCTCAGGTTGGGGACCCTGCAACTTCGGACCGCCCCGGTGTCCGCAAGGCACAGGGTGGTGCTGGATTTCCAGGCTGGAGGAAGTGTGCAAGATGCGGCTCTTCAAGATCCCTCATGCATGGAAGCTGTGCTGCTCGACGGCCAGCTGTTGGCATAAGTTAAATCCGACCCGACCTTTGCCATTTACGCTGGCGGCGCCCCGTAACCCTCTACTTCCCTCGATTAGAATGGCAGAACAGGGGAAGCTATTGGCCAGTCGACCTTTGTCTGCCACCTAATTGCGGTGTCCCTTTTTGGGACGGGAGCATTAACGAAGACCTGGGAGCGCCACCAACAGGCTTTTGGCATGTGTCAAACCCTCCCGGGGACACACCCTCACCGTCTCCTGTCTAATATCCCATCTGTTCTGGCTAAGATGGGCGACGGCCTTACCCTCTGAACAGAGGAGATTCGGACTTTGGGCCGTAGCAAACTTGAGCCTGTAATTGGCTTTGCCTATTGCCTTGCTCAATCTCCTCCCCTTTCCTTTGGCATAGTAACCATCTATTCAAAAAGGTGCCACTGCCAACAATGTCAAAGATTTTTCACATAGCACTGCCCGACCAGTGGAGCCAGTACATGGTCCCAGCGGGCCGCAGATTCAGCCATCGTGGCGGCTTCCACAAACTCACACCCCGCCGTTTTTCACCCATTTTCGCAAATTCCCTCTGGGGAATTTCCCATTCATTCCCCCCGATTAAAACCACCCTCCACCCCGGCCCATGCACACGCATCCCGGAGTCAAGGCCCCTCCTCCTCCCCGCGGGGCTCCTTCGCGCGCGGGCCAGCCCAGCGCCAAGGCCGCCCCCGCCCGCCATCCACCCCACCCACCCCCGCGACGATCCGATCCTCGCCGATCGCCGAATCCCTTCTGCGATTGATCTTTCGAGCTTGGAATCGCGAGGAGGGAGTCGTCGCGGCAGAGCTAGGGCAGCGGAGGGGCAGCGATGGGCGTGGTGCACACGCTGCAGCTGTACTTAGCGGCGGGGATACTGCAACCGGGGCCCAAGAAGCTGAGCTGCTCCGTGGGGGGTGAGGAGCATTACGCAGGTGAGGGGGCGAGGGGGGAGGGGCAATTCGGCTGTGTCTGACACGCGGAGGGTGCCAATGGCGCGACGGGAGCTTTTGGGCCCTAAGCTGCGGCGCGGTCGATTGATCTTGGGGCCTGATTGGGATTTTATGCGTGGATTCCGGTGGTTTTGCCCTCGCGGGGTTTGGCGGGGCAGGAGAGGGAGGGGGGGCATCGGTCGCGTCTCACACCGGAGGGGGCGAATGGCGCGACGGGAGCTTTGGGCCCGAAGCGAGGCGGCGATCGATTGATCCGTGGGAGCGATGTGAGGGTTGTGGGACTGGAGTGCGGGCACCGGTGATTTTGCCCGCGCGGGGGAGGATGGGAGGGGGTTTTGCAATCCGGTTGTGTCGGACGGGGTGAAGGGGCCAAATGGCGCGACGGGAGGTCTTGCGCCCGAAGTCGTGGCGCGATCGATTGATTGGGGCGCCTGACTCGAGGGCTGATGGGTCTGGCGGCGGACGCGGGCGGTTTTGGCCGGCGGGGGGAGTGGGGGGATCGGGGGTGGGTGGGGTGGGTGGACTGTGGGCTGATTGACGTGATTGAATTATCCGGGAGGGGGCGTGGGGGGGAAGAGGGGTTGCGGTGCGATGGCCAATCTGGGCGGCGCGGCGCGGCTCAGGGGCGGGGACGAGGCAAGGATCGCCGGGAGGGGGGGCCGGGGGGGGGGGGGCGGGGTGGATTCTCGGCCGTGGGCGGAATCGGATGCTGCAAATTCGTGTGTGGGAAGATGAGGGGGTCAAGGGGCGGGGATTTTGACGCGATGGGTGGATTATCGGGCTGGGTGGGCGTGGGGGGCTGAGGGATTGGTGTGGTGTGCGCAGACCTTGGAAGCAACGGCCAGATCCTGTTCGAGGGCCTGGAGTTCAGCACGCCGTCCTCCTTCTCGCTGTACATTAAGCGGAAGCAAAACCCGGCGCGGAAGGCGGACGACGGCTGGACGTCGGTCAAGTACGAGGGAACGACTCTGTTCGAGCTGCGCGAGCTGTGCGACCTGAGGGACGACCCCGATGGTGCGGATCGCCACGACTTTGCCAAATCCGACTTCGGGCCCCACAACGGCCGGATCGCCGATTCCAGTCGGGGCAATGGCGCGGGGATGCTGCTCCGGGGCGATGCCGCTGCGATCGGCGGCGAGCGCGGCGGCAGGGTTGCCGGCGGGGATCGCCTGGCCGGGTCGGACGGCTCGCATTCCGAGGATCGGCATGTGAGAGTGGGGAATCAGGCCAACGGGAGGATCGGCAATGGCGACAGGCTGGGCGGGCCCTGCGGCAGGAGGCGGCCCAATGGGTGCCACAATCTGGCCGAGGGGGAGAATTGGTGCCTGATGGATGCGGGGGTGGACCATATGGGTGGGGACACCAGCGGGCCTGAGGAGGGGAGGGTGGAGTGGCCAGGCGGGGACGGCGGGGATGCTGCCAAGAGAGAGGGGCTGGCGGATCGGGGGACCCCGGGGGGTGAAGAGACGTGGATTTTGTGTGAGAAGTGTGACCAATGGAGGAGGATAAAGATGGAGACGGTGCCTGATGGGCCCTGGCATTGTTGCATGAACGCCGACAAGAGGTGAGTGGGGGCGGGGAGGCGGGGGTGTGTGGGGGCAATGGCGGTGCCGCCTAGCGGTTCCGATGATTGGATTGGCGCCGCATCGAAGCTGGAGCGGGTTGGCTCGCTGGGGAAAAGTGGGAGGCACAGGTGTGGGGATGAGGCCTGAGGTTGCTGTGAAGCCTTGTGCTGGCACGGTTCTGTTTCCTGAAGCGCGGGCGCTGGGTCGCGGTCGCGCTGTTGTGAATGTCTCTTGTTCTTTGTGTCGTTGTGGAGGAGTGTTCCCTGCTGTGGGATTTTCAGCTTTTGCTCAGGCCCTTTGCTGTCAGTTTACAGTGTGGTGAGCAGTCACAAAAGCGTTGGTAAAGAGGGATGGGCGGGTTGTATTGTGCGGCCTGCTCAGCAAAGTCTGGAACTGTAAGTGCCAGCAAGGAACAGACATTGGGGTTGCATCAAACCCATGCTGTCAGGTAGAGTCGTGCTAGCTGGCTGGCTATATGGCTGTCTGGCAGGCTCTCTTGTTGTCTGCTGTTATGGCGTGGTTGTTGGTATGCTCTGCAAAGCGTAGTGAAGTCGATGCACACAGCTGGCCAACTGATCCAGTGTGATGATCAGAACTCAGTGGAGACAAGTACTGTCACAAGAGTGTCTTTCTTAGGTTTTGCTGCAATGGGCACATTCACTCGTGTTCCTATTGTGCTTTTTGCTTTTGTCTCGTGGTGTATATTGTTTGAAGAAACTGGGTAAGCCACATGGTGCATGCACTTTTGGCACAACAGCAAGCTATCAAGCTTGTTGCTTTTGGTGCCACCTTTGACAGAAGGAGGAAGTGCAAGGGACAGGGACTGTCCACAAAATTGCAGAAAACGTGTCAATGTGTGGGCAGTGAAGTGACGTGTGTGCATTTCCAGTTGCTGCAAGAGCTGTGTTTGAGCGCGCAGAGCACTCTGCCGCAATATGGTATTTTGACAATCCGGCAGAATGCTTAGCAAACCAAGTGCATTTTGAGCGAGAACCCAGTAGTTTGTTGCAGGTCAGCAGAAAAAAAGGTGACCAATGTGTGACTGTGTGTGCCCCCAGATTTGCATCCTGCGATGTCCCGCAGGAGTTGTCCGACGCAGAGATCGATAGTTTCCTGGAAGAGGAGCAGTTGCGGAGGTATGTGGCTAACAGCACACGCCCTCCCCTGGATGTCTGCACCGGCAGCCAATTCGAAGCCGATCTCATCGCCTTTTTGAGAGAGATTGGGGAGGGTGTGAAGGCAGACCAGATTCGATGCAAGAGGGTGCAGTGGTGAGTGGAGTGGAGCTGCCTTTGGGGACTCCAGCTTCTTTCAGGCACTGCATCACTTGCTGCTTTGTGCATTCTTGTTTTGTGTTTGGGATCCTAGCAGAAAGGTAAAGCTGGTCAAGTTGCGCCCCTTTGTAGAGCACAGGGCATGTATGAGGAGGCAGCTGGGTCCAGACTGTTATGCAAACAGGCATAACAGGCTCCCATTGGAGTGTTGGTTTTCTGAGAACGGCACTTTGGTATGAGTTTTCCTGTTGGTAGCACTTGGCAATTCTGCTCATGGCCTCTTGCTGCTGGCCATCTCCAGGAACTGCTCCGTTTTGCAATTAACCTTGTGGGGACCTGCATCGCAATCCACTCACATTGCCTGCATCTGTTAATTGTGTCGATTTCACAGCAGTCAGGGAATAAAGAACAGACATATCCAGAAGGGGCCAAAGTCTGTGTTTGTTTGATGATGCTGTCATCGCCATGCTTGGTGGAAAAGCATTGCCTCATAGCATGTGCCAAATGCGATCGTTAGAATGTTGTTCTCTATTGCCACAGTAACAACCGACCGCTGGACGTGTTTGGCCTCTACAATGCTGTCGTTGAGTCTGGCGGCCTGATCGCCAATGAGAAGTACGACGAGCACAAGCGCTGGATCGGCACCCTTAACTTTGCAGGGGTCATCTTCCCCAAGCTGCAGAACTACACCAAGGACAACCGGGCAACGAGCGTGGGGAACCAGCTGCTCTCTAACTATCGCAAGTTCTTGTATGACTATGAGCGCGCGTGGAGGCATGTGGATGTGCTGGGTGCAGTGCGGAGGTGGCCGCATGACACGTTGGCGGCGATGGGGCCGAGGGCGGGTGCTGTGGGTGTGGCGGCAGGGATGCAGGAGGGGAAGGGAGGCTGTGAGGAGGGTGCCATGGGAGGATCAGGCACACTGGGTGCTTCAGGGGTGAGTTAACATGGTGAGAACTCCCGATTTATAGCTCACAATACAGACGATGATGTTCACGTACACACTGGTTCTCTTGTCGTCATATGATGCCAGTGCAGAAAGAGTGGTATCTGTACAATCACAAGGATACAGGAGCAGCCTGGAATATGTCTAAATGGTGGAGCCTGGGCACATTCATGGGGTTAATCTGTGCGAGACCTCTGTGACATACTCAGACCAAGTGCTGTCCCAGAATTGATCAACATTTGTGGAAACTGGTGCTACTCCTTTTGTGGTCATGTTATGGAACACACAATGTTACACAGGCCGACTTGGGCGATTGCATCCATGTGATGTACAGTGGCTTTGTCCACACTGAACAGCGATCGTTGCCACAGGACACCAACCCCTCGGACCCCTCCGCCAGGCGCTACAGCGCCCTGCTGATGCTCGCCGGCATCATGTGCGCTGAGCGTGACTCGCCCAAGCCACCCTGCCCCACTACCCGCCAAGACAGTGAGACGCATCAGGACACCTGGCAGTCCAACCCCTGCCCACTGCCCAAGCAGGAGGTGGAGGACGAAGATGAAGCAGGGGTTGAGGTCAAGGTACAAGTCACGGAGGAAATTACAGAAGAGGCCTTTCCACTGCATGTGGTGCCGCAGGCTGCCTCTGCCGCGCAGCTGCTGCTTGCCAGGGACCCGAACAGGCCAGGGCTATTGTGGCCGGTAGTGGTGGCAGCACGGGAGGACCTGCCGGCATGCGTGGCGCGTGGGCACAGCAACGACGTTGCCAAGTGGGCTGGCTTCCCCATGTCGTTCAAGGTGGGGCGATGTGGGGGTTGTTGGTTGATGGGGCTGCTGTTCGCTTGTGAATATGATGGAATTGCTTTTGTTCACCCCAATTCGTGTTGTGTGCTTGTTTAAAAGCCTGTAGTCGTTTAACGGGGCGCACTGCAAATCCAAACCACCAAAAGAAAGACTGCACTTCCAGCACGGTGTTTGCAGCTGTAGTGTGTATTGATTTTGGCTGGGAAACAACACAGTATGATGTCACACTGTGCGGCATAATATACTGAGACCAGTGAATTAGCCTGATTGTTGGCTTTCCTATTGTAGAACGTAACATCGCAATGAAGAGTCCGAAATGCGGTCGAAGCCAGGTCCATCAATTGAACATTGATGGGCAGTATGTTGGAAAATATCAGTGCATTGGCTGTATTGCTTTAGATTCACAGTAGCTGTGTTCATGTAGCCTGAGGTATTGCTCATGTTGATTTTCTTATGAGGCAGATACTTATTGAATGTGCATGGTTTGCTTTGAGTAAACTGCGCAACCCACTCTCCTTGCCCTGCTGTTCATATATCCTTGTGGTTTGGTCGCATCACAGCGATCAGAGCGGGGCTTGTACAAAGAAAGCGGATAGAAGGCGTCAATTGTATAACACATTGCAACAAGAACAGGAGTGTACTCATCACCCACTTGTCAATAGAAATTGATAGGAAAACATTGGTTACAGAGGTGACAGATGATAAAAACACACGGAGAAGGCACACAGGTGCTTTGGTTGCTATAGGCATGTATAAGCCTTGATCCTTTTCACCATCAGCTGCAAGCATGATCGACTGCTGCTGGCTGCATGAAGGTAGACTGTGTCAAAATGGGTGTATTGTACAGCTGTCACTGAGCACTGCACTATAGCTCCACAATAATCTGGTGAGGTGGCCACTGGGCACCTGCAATGACTCTGGTTTGCATTGTGCTTCTTGCACAGGAACAACACAGTGATTCATTATACACTTTTGTTCAGTCATCTCGCTTGACATCGGTGAATTGGCCAAGGAACTTGGCTTTGTCACGTTTTGGAAAATGCAACAGGATGAATCGACTGGTCCTAGCTGGCCCCAGGGGACTAGGCCACCTCTTGCTCTGACACTCTTCCCTGTGGCTTGGTCCCAGGAGCTCATCCCTGGTGCAGTGCCTGTTCTGGTGTTCGGATCCGATGCCCTGGGCTGGGCGCACGAGGGCCTGTGCCAGCCCTTTGAGCTTGGCTTGGCCACGGCACTCTACCAGGAGGCTCTGCGATCAGACGACCCCTCTGAAGAGCAAGTCTTTTACAGGTGCGTTCTTTTCATGGTGCAGACTTTGTGATGGGGCATGTGGGCCCCGATCCAGCATGCTTGTTAACCCCCAAACTGTTGTATGTTCTTCTGAAGGGCTTGGCAAGCCTTTGATCCCCTCAAGTGTGCATTGATCGTCCCAGAAGACGACTAACTTTGGACCTTCCGGGCAGTAGTGGCCATATGTTCATTACTTTGTTGTCATCGTGCTGTGGAGGTTGGGGTATCTTGGATTTTTGTGTGAGTTGGTTTGCAGATGGTTGCAAGCTGGGGCTGTCTCACCAATCCAGCATTGACCCAGGGCATGACCACCACGTTGTACCAGCCAGGAATTTGTGCTGCATAGCATTTGAAAAGCCGTTGGCTATCTGTTTCGCCTGGGAAATGAATACCATCGAAATGAACTGCAAGACAAGTCTTCACATTCACATCATGACATTCTTTGATGCAAACATGCTGCATGTCTATTTCTTATGCAGCAGTCACTATTGGGATGTGCCAGTGGTACAGCAATCAAGGGCACTTCTACTGGAGTTGAATTGTCATCATCGGAAGCTACAAAGTGTCAAGAAATCCAATTGTATGTGAGGATGCATGTGTCCATGCCACAGGCGAGTACTGAAGCAGGCGCTGCAGTATGCGGCAGATCCCACACCTGCGCCCGTGAACTGTGTGCGCCCGATCAGCCTTGAAATGGTGGCGGCCGACCTTGTGGGCCTGGAGAGTGACCTGCCGACAGAGGCGCTGGGCGGGCAGAGCTTCTCGACGTGGCACCAGTGGCGGAGCCGCGTGCGGAAAGTGGAGACTGCCGCGGGACTGGCCAGCGAGGTAGATGATTTGCCCACCTATTGGATTGTCTTCCAGAGTTCTTTTAATTTGTTTGAGTTTCTGGTTGCATTCCTAAGTCTGATGCTGACGCCGACCATGACTGTCACAACAGCCAAGGCCATGATTGTGGTTCGTGTATCTTTTCATATAGCTTTAAACAGGCAACCGTTCCCAGCTTTCCTCAACGGACTGGTCGCCTTCTCACATGAGGTGTGCCCAATGGCAGTGCCAAAAGGCAATGTATTGCTTGCAATATGCAGAGTTCTAAATGCGTTTTGATGCCATTTTCAGCAGTGTGTATGGTTGGCACCAGGCACTGCTGCTGTTCTACCAAATCGACCCAGACGTGATCAGGAGGGGCGCCACGGGCCTGTGGCAGGAGCTGGAGCACCTGCTGGGCATCGGCCAGACCAAGGAGCCGACGATCCTGTCCGTAGATACGGCCATACATCTGATGAAGGACAACATCGACTTGGTTCGCACCTACAGGAGGCTCCAGGCGTCGGTAGGGCCTTTCTCTCTCCGTTTGAAATCTGTAGCAAGTTGCCGATTCTGTCCATTTCGGCCCCTTGATATGGGACGCGAAGTTGGAGTCATAACGTCGAAAGAGATGAACGTATGTAGCATAACGTGTCGAATGAATGCAGCGCCACGCAGTGCCATGTTTCCGGAGAGTTAGCAGAATGCCGGTTTCGTTTGTGAGAAGAGAAGGGTCGTCTGTGGCTGTACTGAGTGCAGTTTCTGCTCGTGCACCCGCTCACACGCTCGCCGGGCGCAGTGAACAGGCATCCAAAAGTATCTCACGGAAGATTGCCTGACCTTCCAATTCTCCTCTCCAGCGAACAGAACTCTTGGCACCTACTCCAGGCCTTTCCGCTCCCTACTCTACCGAGCAAAAGCATTGCAGCTGTTGGGAATGCTGCTGCCTCGTTATTGTTCTTATTGTTGCGCATATCCTACACATGTTTCCCAATGAGGACAGAATACCTTTTCTGTGTCGCAGTTGTGGCAACTGCAAAAGGCGTGCCGCACCTGGTGGGCGCGCTGCACTTTGACAGCGCTTGCAATGTGCTGATTCACTGAGCTTTTGCTTGTTTTGGCGATTGCACAGCATGGCACTGCATTTAAGAATCAACGGGCAAGTTCATCTGACTCTGTTTGTGGCCGCAGGGCAAGGCAGACGACTCCAAGAGGAGGTCGGGAACGAAGCGGAGAGCGGCGGAGATGGAAGCCGCGGGTGTCGTCGCCCGTGAATAGCTGTCGTAGTTTTGGAAGTTGTTGTCCATGCCTAGCTAATCGGAAGACCCAGAGCAGACGGGTCGCATGGACGAGAGAGGGAGGGGGTTTAGTTGTGCAGAAGGTGCCATTAAATCTTTCCTTCGCTTAACCAAAGCGTTGCGCGTTGGGGTTGGGTGGGTGTGTTGGGGCCGTTTGCGAGGCCGGTGCCTTCCATGACCATGGGGCTCCTCGGGGCGCTTGTAAACTAAGCAATAAAGGCCCAGTGGGTGTGCTAGTGACCCAGGACTTAGGAATGGAATTGAGTGCGTTTGAAATTAGGGGGCGCGCCGAAATGCTGTCGGCTGTCGGCGGGCCCGGAGCAGCGCAGCGCGCTGGCGTTCATTCTGGGCCGTTGACGGTTGTTTGCGGTGCGCCAAATTGCGGCTTCAAGAATCGGTGCAATGTTGGGGTTTAAATTTAGAAGAACCGAGGGGAGAAAGGGCGGGGGGGATGTGAACCGTGCCAGGACGGCCATGTGAGTTTGATGGCGAAAGTTGTGCCCTCTGCACGTCATTGTGTGCATCGAGGGGCGGAATGCCACCTTAAGTTGTTTGCTGCGTTGGTTGCCTCTTGCGGCCGTTTGGCCATTTGCTTGGGCCCTGTGGGCTCCAAAGACTGTCGGCAACGGGTTGCTGTTCCCATGCTTTTGAGGTGTCCACGAGGTGCACCTAGTCTTCGTCCCACCTGTTTCTTCATGTCCACAATGCCCAAAAAGATCAACAGGAGAGCTCCTGCTGAACAAGATCGGTTTAAATGTGGCGGTGCTGGAACAAGCAAGGTAGCTGTTCGTATTCGCCGCAAATGAGCAACTGTAAGTCTTGGGAATGCTACCCTGATTTCAAATGGTAGTCTTCATTGAGGACACCTCAAATATGTGCAGATTGACTCAAATTCGACTCAGCACGAGCGCACAGCGGGAAGTTGGATGCCTATTGGCCCTCTTCCAACTAATCCACGTCGGTTCCTCCTTTGCAATTGACTATCTCGCGATTAAAGGGAAGGGGCAACGTAAATGCAATCTACGCCTGTTCCCTACATGTAGATGCGTGGGCGACGGCAGCGCCACTGGCTCAAGGATTGGCACATTGACAAACAAATCGCCATGACTAACAGTGTGTGAATTGCCCGATTCTTGTGCAACGATGCAGAACCTATTGGCATTAACTGCATTCACGAGTACAGATGTATTCCGTGGTCCCTGCACCGCGTCCATGCCCCAGCGGTGCCAAAACCGGGATGCGGTTGGCAGTGGGGTGGTCGTCAATACTCCATCCGCCAGTCATTGTGTGTCATGTCCCGGTGGCTCCCAGTGCCACACTAGTGGCACGAACTGCATTTCTTTTTGTCTGTGTGTGTGTGTGTGGATGGGGGGGAGCAGAAAGGGTGGCTCGAGAGCAGCATTCACCCATTTAAGGGCATGAATCATCCTTCACAAGCAGAACGTATTCAACACCATTAACGACATGGCAATCTCCACCACGCCGCATCCAGAAACCCAACATGTCCACTAGTGGCAATCCACATGAGCTACATCAACCAAGGTGTACTGGAGTATGCTGACGACACCAAGGACGTCAAGCATTCGATACCAGAGGCAGTACTTGGGCAATACGAGCTCAAATCCAGATGCCAACGAGACGTCAACTCTGCCGCACTTCTCATCCGATAGTCTGTCATGCAAGAGCCTCGCAATGTGAGCCTCTCAAGTGATGTGAGCATTGCCATGCTCCTCACACCAACACCAGCAATTATGCTACTCCACCAATGCAATTCCGGTTTTGTCAGCGATGACAATGCACCCAGACCCCCCCCACCAAACCTGTAATCATCCGACCAACACTTCTGCATTCCAGAGACCTGAGTGACGGCACAAAAGACAAACTTCTCATACCCTCACTTGTACTGCCATCCATGCTGCGCAAGCAAACAACTGCGAGAGAACAAGCCCTCTAAGGCATCCTTTTGCATCTGTGACAGTGAACAGCCTGAGCAAAATAACTGATGTGAGTGTCGCCAAGATCTGCACCTGTCTGTCGGTAATTTCCCATCTTGAAACGTCCAAACTTGTGAGTGCAGTGAATGACAACAAGATCTGCACCGATGCGTCAATCGTGTGAGGGGCAGATGGGGCCAACTCCACATCTGTCAGGGACAACAAGTTGTATGCCAGCTTGCCAATTCCCACGTCAGTGACTCGACAGCAGCTGCTGATATGGAGACATACTATGTGAGAGATGCCAGAGTTGCAACATAGCCCATTCCCTCATCAGTAGCATCAGCCCACCCAAGGCAAGCCATCTGAGCGATGTCAGCTCTGCCAAATGTTTCAGCCCTTTTCCCTCACTTACTTGAAGGCATCAAGTAAAGTGACAAGCAGAGAGACTTGTCAAAGATTTTGCCCCAGCATCTGCTTTGCGTTCGCAATGGCAACCCCAACATATCCATACTAATGAATGTCGTCAATGCTCCCAGGCATTTGAAACACACATCGCACATGCGCCAGCCACGCAATGACAGATCCGTCAAGCCTGCGACGTCCATCAAACATCTTGTGGACACAAGTGTGGGGCCAACACTTGTGACACCGCCCAGGCTCAATTTGGTGAGGTGGGTAAGTCGACCCAGCAAGACAGCACCTTCTCCATAGATCAATCTGGAGTCCAAAAGATTCAAACTGACAAGGTTGCAGAAACCGTCCGACAGTTTCAGATGAGAGTCCTGCACACGAAGGTGCTCATGCAGTATGAGCTCTTTTACAGTGGGAAATGTAGAGGCACAGGCTTCAGGCACTTTGGACATTGGACCGACATCATCAAGCACACGGGGAACGCTTGGCTGCAGCACTGTGGCCGCCCTGCCGGCCCGCTGGTGCCAGTGGCGACTCACGAGATGGAGTCCCGTAAGCACCGATATGCTTTGAGAATGCCTAGTTTCCAGCACTTCCATGATGGAATCCAGGACACGGGCAGCCAAGCGGTCCCACACATGCAAAGCCAAATTCACCTGGACCGCAAAACAACAACTTTTGAATGTTGAACCCTGTTCTGAGTATGCCGTTTGCAAGCAAGCCACAGAAGGCCATTGAAATGGCTGCAATGCCCGCTTTCTCTGGTTACCAAGGAGGCCTTGACTGCATCATAAAATGTACCAACACTGCAGCACACAAGCCGAACTCCCTGTATTAGCTCCCTGGTGTGGATGTAGGTTCGCTCGGGTGTTGGGCGACAGTTGGGACAAATCGAATACCTCAGGGATCGGAATACGCAGGTTTTGCAACGGCCCTTGCCCACAAACAGCAGAGCGCAGGGACACATGCAAACACTCAACAGGATCAACTGCATGACAAGACCAGGTCTTCGTATTTGCCACCTCAAGGGGAGCGTTTTTCCACAGTCTGGCAAACGTATTGAAATGCACTATTGCTCAGCAGACATAGCTTTCCGCAGTGGCGCACAAATCTTCTTGGAAGCCCTCAGCTGTGTGTTGGCCACAGCAATGCACAATCATCCCTGCAAGATAGCATTTTCGGCACCTCCACTCCGTGGTTCTCCCTCGCATCTCAGCCTGTGCTAGGGCGGAATCCGCACACAATTCGCAAGGTCCCCGCGAGAAATTGCACCAATCCCTTCGCCGAGCAGCTGAGCCCATAGCTCATTCCCGGCCCACAAGAATGCACCCAATTTGCCCTCGTCCGGAGGCGTCTACACCTTTCTCACCTTCGCGTTTCGTTCGCTGCAATGATCGATGCCGTAACGTCACGCCGATGCATCCATGCAAGGACCCAGCGAACAAACAAACAGCGCACCGTTCTCACTTTCAGCACAGGAGCCCGACACTGTGGACGCCCACTTGGCGCCTTCCATGCCGTGTTCGCGCGTGCCACCGCCGCTGAGCGGGTTGTGTCTAGGAGCAGGGCCGGACAGCGACTGGTAGGGCAGCCCGCACTCAATTGGCGCCCAGGGGGGCCCCACAAGGAAGCTGGTAAGACCCAGTTCCTGGCCGGTGACCAGTATTGATGCCGAAACTGGTGTTGTACAGAGATGCCGTTGTGCCGTAACGCTGGTGTACCGTGGGTTTTAAACCCTTGCGCATGGTAACGTAACGCTTGGCCTTTTTTCGCGAAGAGAACAAATAAATCAAATAAATTAGCGCAGGTTGTAACGCTCTTTCGCTAAAATTTTGCGGAGCAACGTACAAATCATAAATTTAACGAAAAACTCTGAAAAACAAAATGCGGAGCAAAGAGCGTAGCAGCAGAAATTTCCCACGCGGAAGGCTTTGAAAACCCACGGTATTGCGCGCCAGTGATGCCGTTGCGGAACGAGCGGAATGTACAGGAAGGGGCGCCGCAGTGCCCGGCCTTTGCCCGCGACGACCCGGCCCTCCCTCATGGCCTCCCCGGTGCGGACGCGTCGGGACAACGGGCCACCCGGTTTCTGACGACCTGCCCAAAGGAGTGAGCCTGGCGCTTTGGAGGGCCCAGGGCGCCAAACCGCCTTTGCGAAATCGGCCTCGGACGGGATCCCCAGATATCGCCGACACGATTCCCTGGAAGCTGACGGCCCGTCCTTCCCGCTGAGGGGGGCACGCCCCGATTGGCGCGGTGGGTGGCGGCCACTGTGGCCAATGCCTACGTGTGAAATTCCCCTGGGGCCGGCTCGGCGCAATGCAGAGCCCGGTTCTGCGCCGATTTTGGGCCTTGTTCGGTGCGCCGCACGGCAGATTGGGGGGCCGCCTGCCAATAGGCGCCAGATTTAAGGGGCGCCTGCCGATGGGCGGCACCCCTTCGATAGCAGTAACGATAGAGCGCAAGGCGTGCCGGCAACCGGCGTGCCTTCACTTGATAGGCGAGCGCGCTGAATTGTGACGCGTGGGTGGGAGGTCCGTGCCCGGGTCAGTGTCGCGCAACTCCTTCGCCGGGGATCATATTGCTTTTGCCGTGTTGTACTGGCGGGGCCCCCGCCTGGCAGCGAGATTTTGAATTGTGATTGGTTGTTGGGGGGATTGGCGGCTGGCCGGGGAACTTGGGCGCGTTGCCCGGCGGTGACTGCTAGGATTAGAACGGAACCGTCGCCGATTCGGGCCCCGTGGGTCCGCGCACGATCCCGGGGTGTGCCTGGCGACTTTGAGAATATATTAGCCCCTTTTCCGTGAGGATCCCTTCTACTTCCGCTAACAAGGCCAACATGGGTCAGGGGTTTTCAGTGGTGTTGGGCTTAGGGTGTCGAAACAAGAGGGGGTCTTCACGGAAAAGACAGAGCCACCACGTCGTGTATTGAGGGCACTTGTGGTGGAGAGTTGTCTTTGGAGAGCCGCGGGCAAACCCTCCTGTGTTGGGGTTGCCCAGTTTGTGGGCCGCTATGCTTCGATGAGTAGAGGAGCTTCGCAGCTCTGGGGCACTCCGAAGCCGTGTGGATCGGCGGGGTGGGCGGTGGACGGGTGCAAGGAACGGCATCCGCCCATGAATCCACCCCTGCGGTTTCCACGGAGTGGAGCTTCCTGTTTTCTGTGCCACAGGCCCTCTGCACGCAGGGTTGTGACCACAGGACTGCTGGGGACATAGGGCTTGGGGATGCCACTCAGCCAATAGGTGGCTTTATGCTTTCTTGGTGTTGCTGTTAATCAGTGGGCAGGGAGGTGTGACATATGAAAAATTGCACGTCTCCTTTCCGTGCACGAATTCCAGTTACAGATTGTGTCCATTGTTCGTGCCCCGATTGGTTGGATGGAGTTGGCTAAATATAGTTCAGATCATTGTGGTTCAGTGTGGATACACCCACAACTTGCCTAATTTTTTAAAAATTTATGAGCTCCCACAGTTTATTACCGTAGCTATTGTGCCCTTGGTCCAAAGACAGAATGCTAAAAGAATGGGTTTGACCAAAACTCCGACATTCCACCAAATGTGGAAACAGGCCTGGTGTTGAATAGATGTGCTGAGCTTATGTTTGGTCATGATAGGACACTGCACCCACTCTGAGCACAGAGTGGCATGTGTTCATTCAAGCACCGATAGCAGTATATATTATGTAAAGCAATACCATAGTTATTTGTGCGTGGCTGCAGCAAAATTCGACTGCAATGATCGTTGTTGGATACTTTCTGCGCATGTGTACATAAGCTGCACACCTGCACGTAAAGGAGGCTGTATGTGCACGAGCTGCTGGATAAGTGCGGAGGATTCATGTTGTCATACATGCATTGTTGGTGGTGTTCTGTCAGTGCTTTATTGTTCCACCTGAAGGAATGATCCCAGTGCTGCAATGTGACAGTGGGACAACACAGAAAATGGAAAACTGTGTAGCAGGTAATTGTTTGTGTTGTTGTATGGGTTTCCAGGGAGAAGCAATGGCGGTGTTTGTGGATCCATCTGTGCCTGTGAAGAGCCTTGTAGATTTGCTGCTGAAGCCATTCAGGGTGCTTCAAAGAATCAAGGAGGTGGAAGAGGATGTTCCTTTCCTGCATGGAAGGGTGCTTGTCCTGGATGGGACATTGAAGAGCATTAGGGAAGATACAAGATTCGATGGAGATGGATGGCAAACAGTGATGCCTGAGGAGCGATGGCAGAAATTGCACGAGTCATTGCAAGTGTTTGAAAAGATTCTGGAAAAGGCTGACAACCTTGCAAAGAAAATCGATCAGTACAAAGGACGGTTGAAGATGTGGGTATATGCCAAAGGTTTGAAGACCAGCTTGGAAGATTCCCATGTGGAGCTGGATAGAGTCGACCAAGGTATTTTTGTCTTTACAAGTAATCTGCAATCTCTTATACTTTATTTATAGTGGCCACTGTGACATTTCAGGTCATGCACCATGGACATGACTGACACAATATTCAGCACGTGAAGTGAATGAATTCTTATAGCATAATTATTTGCAAAGTCTTGATGTCATGGGGCCTTTGGCATATGAAACACAGCTTTTGCTATTGGCTGTAATTTTTTGCTTCCCATGGAGATCTTGTTTGCAACACCTGGCCTTCTTTGCAAGCTTTCAACCACTCTGCACAAATGTCATGGATGTGTGGACACAACTGGTGGTGGGTGCTGCCATGCTTGCATGCTTGTAGCAAATGCACTGAGTTGCTGCTTGGAATCTGTAACCCAAGAGGCGTTCTTATTACCACTGGCAATGCTCAAAGTAGGGATGCTGCTGGAGAGGGAGGACTCTTGGCCAAGCTTCAGTGAGAGCCTGCAGGTGGCAGTTTCATTGATGTTGAAGTGATAACATGATGCAGGAACACTTTGCCAATGGCTGATTTTTCTATTGACAGGTTTGGCAAACGTACGAACATTGCTTGGAGAGCCTGAGCCTTCAAAAAAGCAACAGCAGGTCGATCAGCTGAGGCGGATAAGCTTGGAAGGGCGGCCAGTTGAGCCAGTGGTGAGTTTTCTAAAAAGTGAAGCATATGTTGGAAAAGTGCAAAGGCAGTGAGTGCACAGCTGCCACAGTACTTCCAAGTGGACCACTCACTGAATGCAAAATGCACATGATGCTTTGCTAATCTTGGCGATGGAGATGGCGGGGAATTGTGTTTTGTACTAGTTGCATTGTTTCAAGCAGCAAAACTTCTTCACATTTTCAGTGGATAAATGTTTGACAGTATTCACAGCGCGACACAGCATTACATCAGCTTTCACCGTGAACATTGCCTGAATGCTGCACTGGCAATGTTCTCTGTCCTTTTGCAGGAAGACGCTCCCCAGAAATCGGCTGAGACGAATGAGGTGAGTGGTGCCAGAAGGTTTGTGCCCTGCCAAGGGAGACAACCTAAATACAGGACATCGTGAACGCTATTCACATTGGGAATCTCCTCTCTTGTCTCAGTATGTGCAGCCAATAAGTTGACAGGCTTTGACACAGTCAACATAACTTACACAGACCACTACAAAGTCCCATAATTTTGCACCTTCCCATGCTGTTTCCATTCCTTATCTTGGAGTGCTCCCAGGGCTGCTCTGCTTGTGGTGGACATAATTTTGGTGTCCATCATTACAAAACAAGGGAGTAAGGCATTTGTCCATGGAGTTCTGCCATATCTGTGTCTGTTGCCTTGATAGGTGATAATAGGTGGATAGGTCCAAAGTGCGTTGTTGAAATTGGCTATGTCAGCACTGAGCAGCGTGATCACAGCATTCTTGCATACCTTTGCTGCTTGCCCTGAGGTGAGTAATGCAGCTGCCTCCATTTTTTGATTCAGCAGACAGTCCAGAGCCATCGTATCTTTGCAAATAGAGTCTCTTTGGTTTACCAGCAAAGCATCCCAAAGGGTTTGCTGATCTAAAAACGCAAAATGAGCAAATTAGCACACCATGGTGGCATAATCTCTTTGGCCGGGCATTTCCTGTGACAGAAAGACCATTTGTGATAAGGGAGACATCTTTTGATTCTAGTACACTCAGCATTTGATGGACGCCATGCTCCCACTCGTTGTTGCGTGTTGATCACATCAGGGCACTGTTGTGACCTTGATCCAGAAACAATGCATATATGGGAGAGCAGCATAACTTGATGTTACAATCAGGCTCTGTTGTAGTGAAGCACTTGAACATTTATGTGTGAATTTCCACATGCTGTTTGCATCTCAGATGATGGCTGTTGTGTCAACAGGACTGCATACGTTACAACAAGAAGAAATTGGAGTTCCTTGAAGAGCAGATGGTGCCCATGCAGCTGTTGGAAAAGTGCATCCCACCAGGGAGTACCTCGCCACAAGCCTGGACAGAATCTATGGTGGCTCTGAGAACTACTCTAGAGTCTGCAAATAAGTTCATCAAACGCCACAGCTGTCCATTCAACCTGCAGACCTTCTGCACCACGCAGCATGCAAAGATGAAGATTGAGAAGATTTGCAACATCTTGAAGTCAATCGCTGATGAGTATGAGCCGCTGGTGGAAGAACTGAAGGGCGTGAAAGTTCTGGACAAGATACCCAAAGAGGCAGTGGATGACGACTGGGAAGACTTGCGCAAGAAGTTGAGCTTCGTTCTGAAGGGCGATCATTGCCACTTCCCACCATCGCTGCAGGCCGAGTGGGAGGCCGTGAAGAGGCAGCATGACAAAAGAGTGAGCAGACTGCAGATCATCGATGAGAGCAAAATAGTGTGGGTGGATGTTATCTCTGAATGCACTCACTACGTGACGTACTACGGCCTCAAAGCAACAGCAAAGAGGATGATCCAAGATGGTACGCCCCTGGGACTTGAGGACTTTGCGAAGTTCTACACAGAGGCTGCGATCATAGATTCCTTGAATATCCAGTGGGTCGCCCGCCTCATTGGCATCAGCCAGCAGGGTCTCATGGTCGTGGAGGGCGGCGACAAGGACCTGATGCAGTGGTACAGGGAACTCAAGTCCGTCGATTGGCAAGTGAAAGTGAGGGTGATGTGGGAGGCTGCCCAAGGGCTGCTCTTTGTGCACGACCAGCAGGTCATGCACTGCTCCGTGAGCAGCCAGAGCTTCCATGTCTTTCCGGGTGACTCCATCAAGATCACCAACTTCAGCTCTGCCACGGAGATCACGGAAGTCAAGTCCCTTTCTCGCAGGAGACAGCATGCCCAGAACCGGTGGATTGCACCCGAAATCTACTCCGGCGCACCCCACAGCCTGATGTCCGATGTGTACAGCTTCGGCGTGGTCATGCACGAAGTCGCTGCACTGTCCCAGCCCTACGGCGTGAACCCCACAGAGGCGGAGCTGCTGATAACGAAGTTGGCGGGTGAGCCGCCGTGCGCCATCCCAGGTGACTGCCCCCAAGTGTTGAGGGACCTGATGGCCCAGTGCTGTTCAGCCACGCCTGGCGAGAGGCCAACTATGGCACATGTGGTCGATCGATTGTCAGATGTGCAGACACAGCTTATTGAAGCCTCGTGAAACTGGTGCTAAGCAGTGGCTGGTGCAGTGGTAGGTGGTCTCGTTTCTCGCAGAGGTGGCAGCCCAGCCTTGATGAACTGCTCTCTACCTTGCATTTCTGCCCTGTATCAGAGTTTTGGCCTCTGTGCGTTGTATTGTGTTTGCTGGCCTTGGCACAGAGGAAGCAGCAACTTCCTTCAGAAGTGGTGACAGGCCAAGTGGACTTTTTGCAGTTGTAGATTCTCCTGTGTTTCGATGGCCGCATGGTGGAGGCTGATGTAGATCGTCGATTAAGTCATTTTAAGGGACGCCAGGCAAGCGCAAAACTTGTCGTCGAGCACATTGTCATCGTAGCTCATGACTGTCTTTAGTCTTGTGGTTTTCTTTCAATTTTTCTCCCTTTCCCACCATGTATAATATGTGTACCAGTGCCACCAGTTAAACTGGGGTTGGAAGTTGGTGGAGCTTGCACAAGGAAGTGGATCGCGGAAGGGCCAGGAATTTTGGTCATGGGTGCCGGGCGAACGGGTAGTTGCTCGAATTGATGTTTGACATTTAACATCAAAATTGCCCGACAGATTTTGTCGAGTGAGCCACAAATTAGATCAACAATCCAGGGATAAGCACCGGATGACTGGCTGGTGGCAGCATTGGGAACGCATTTTGAATGTGTCTTTGGCGATGAGCAGTGCAGGGAAATGGCGTTGTGCTTTGCAGCGGACACAATGGCTTCTCGGGTAACCGGCAGGTTTTGGCCCCGATGCTGGTTTGCGAAAAACGATGTACCGCGTAGTACATCGATGTACTGCGATGTGCTATGTAGTATATATGCTCTGCGCGGCGCTTGGCCGCCCTGTGCGTCGGCGTCGTTGCTTCCCCCGCAGAGGCACCTTGACTAGCCTGAAATCTCGGGAGGGGAGCGTCAGGTGAAGAGATTCCTCGGCTAGGTTTACGAAAGGCCCCATAAATATCCGCCCAGGAGCCTGTCTTAAAGACGATGGATGTCCCAGAGATACGGACCGTTGTTCAGCATGGAAGCCTGGCAGTTTAAAGAGCGAATGAATGCGTTCTCCAAGAATGCACGATTCCTTTCACCCAGCCCCGTGTGTCCATGCAATCATCCCAGAGTGTCGCCTTTCGTGCATCAGGATTCGGCCCCTCCTGTGTTGCAGAGGCGCCCCCCATTCCATTGAAGGAACGACCATCCTGCATGAACAAGGGGGCAAATTTAAGTTTGGCTTATTCCCTTTGCTCCGGAATCGCAACGATGATTCTGATATAGAAAGCGTAAGTGAGCAACGCGTTATTAGTGAAGTTCGTTTGCAGCACATCTCGTAAAGTTGACTATTGTTGCTTTGCTTTGATAAAAGCAAACTGCACTCAAGAATTTCTGTTCTGACTGGCATCAACGAGCTTCTGTCCTCTGAGGCACTCTGCTCACCTGCAGCTTGCGCATTGCAGCACCTGCCCCCTTCGCATCCGCAAAGCCTTCCTACTGTTTTGGATTGGCCACATCAGTCGGTTCCTCAGCGTCGCTGGTGGCCTTCTCGCGGTGTCCACATCCGTGTGCCATTTGCACTGTCAGCCGCGCGGTCCCTGCCAAGGCCTACGCATTGCAAGGATTGCTTGGTGCTGTCGCGCCCACCAGCGCCGTTGCTGCATTGCAAATGCGCACGCAAAGGCTGTGCAGCTGTAGTTTCAGGGCAGCTGCCGGCCCCACAAGCTCACTTTGCCATTATCGGAGGTCCTCATTGTGGCTATGCGATGTGTGGTGAGCAACGCTTGCGTCGCTGCAACGCAAGCTGCAATGCCCATAGTGGAGCACAGCATTTTTTTCACCTGCCCGTGGGAATGGCGCAACTGAGCTGTTTCGAAAAATGCAAGTGTTTCAACAACTTATTATTGTTGAATTCCTGCGTCGAAAATCTGCCGCCATGTGAACGGGATCGATTGTGCAGTCTACATTGCCATTGAGTCATCAGTCGGTGCCACGGATGCGCGTTTCATGGCGCAAACCCTAACATGGCGGTGGATGGCGCTCATCCGGCAGCGGATATGGTGCCATGTACCTCGATTGCTTGGTAGGGGATATGCTTAGAAGTACATGACACAGTGCTATACGGAAAAGCGGGGAAAAGGCGTTTGCTATACAGATGGTATGGTTCCCATGCCTGTGCTGCTGGGCAGGGCAGGTTCGCATTCGCTTGAGTTGTCTTTTCAAACAATAACGTTTCATCGCTTCCAGTCCCTGATCTTTTCGTTTTCGAATCAGGCCGACTTTCGGCTGCCAGCACGGTGACCAACACTTGGACAAACTTCCATGCGGAGTGTGGAAATGCCCCTCCAATACGAATTGAACCACCTTTCTGAAAATCATTATCACGATTCCACGGCAGACAGTTGCAAAAAACAGCACTTCTGCGTGCCGAATGCGATGCCGTTTGACGCTAATTGATTCCATGAAGTTCTCGTTTTGATGGCATCGCAACCACTGCGGTGTAATCGAATAATGTCAAATGGCATGGCATTTGGCATCCAAGAGTGGTGGTGTCCGTTGCTGATAGCCAGTGGTCAGAAGCTGCCCCACCTCAGTTCGAATCGCCGCCCTTGGGGCCCAATGGCGCCTGCAGGCTTCGTTGTCAATTCCGACCGCACAGTTTTCACAGCACACGAATACCCTAATCCGAGATGTGAAAACAAACCAGCAACAGTGTTTAAGGGACGTTTAAGGAATGTTTAGTACATCGGTACTTCACTGCGCCCCACTACCTGGTGGGATGTAGTTGCGGGTGTCAAATGTACCGGCCAGGCCGCCGACCCGCAGCCTGTTGCCCGACGACCAAACGGCCGGGCCTCATGGCCGTTCACGGACCGCCGCGGCCGGCAGGCGGGCGCCAACGGCTCTGAAAGGGATGCCCCAAAACGTGAGTGCGGCGCTGGGACCCCGAGCGTCCACAGCCGCCTGTGCGCAATCACGTCTTGCATCGGATCCCTCGATTCCGCCGACAGTTCCGGCGACAGCTCGCGAAGAAGCTGACGCGCTCTCCTTCCGGCCGACGGAGGGGGCGGGTGGGGATCGGCGCCGTCCGGCGCTGCCGATTGAAGCAGCGCTTTCTTTCCACATGACTAGTGGGCCGGCTAACGGGGATTCTCGCGCAAATTTTGGATGATTTTGGGGCTGGCGAGGGCCAATTGCCGGATCGGCGGCAACGGTGCGAGGGAATGGCCGTGCGCGTAGAATTCTGAAGCGCGTTGCGGAGGCCTTGCCTCGACCCAATGCTGCGAATCTCCGCGACCATGGATCGCATTGTGTTGGAAGGCTCCGGGTGGGAGGATGGGCGGCTGGGGAAGGGGAGCGGGACGGGGATGGGGCCGATCTCGCCGCGTGGCATTTATCTTTTGACTCGGCTGGGCGGCCACTCTTGAGTGTAGCGTCATTGGCCGGCGCCGCCGCGAAAAATGGATCGGAAACCTCAACGATCCGGGGCTCGTGGGCTCACGCGCGATCCCGGATTGTGCTGGTCGATTTGCCTTTGCGTCTGTTGGGAGACGTCTGCGTCATCTTCAGAGAGCCGCGTGCAGACATCATTCGGGAGAGGGTGCCCATGGCGAGGAATGTTTCTGTTTCAATAGTGAGAGGGTCTTCGCAACCCTGGGTGCTGCGACGTGTTGTGCATTGGTGTGGTGGGACAACATTGTTACAAGAGTGACGTGGCATGATCCCAGATTTCATCCACCTTAGGGAGATTCAGCGGAAGCCCCGAGGAAAAACAAGGCAGACACAAGTTGAGAGAACAGCAAGTGTCAGCGTAGCATGGTCTGGTGGGGTGTTAGTGGCAGTAGTGTGCAGGAAAGAGCGTTCCACTGTTGCTCCCAACCCTGGTGCTGCCACGGGACGGCTTTTATTCTTGGGCCCCACATGCCCTCTAAGCAAGATTTTGTCCACACAGCTGGTGGGGAACGTGGCGGTTGGGATTGAACCTCACCGATTGGTAGATGGTGCTATTTTGCCTCCCAATGCTATTGTTGGCATTGACAGAATTGAACATGGCCTGTCTCCTTCCATTGGACGAATCCAACTGCAAACCCCGTCCAATGTTTATGCCCAGTTCGGATGAGTGGTTGTCAGCAATGGGTTCAATTTTGTCTAGGTCATTGTAGCACAATGCAGGCACCCCGATACTACCCTCATTCTGGGCTGGCTCCCCAATATTTTTGTAGCTGGTGCACCATACACACCAAAGCACAAGCTGCAGAAGAACTGGGTTTTGAGGAAGAAACAAGGCCAAATAGCTTATTCTGGGCATTGTGATGAGCAGGAATGATGTCCAGCAGATGGCTATCATCACTCTTGTTCGAGATGAAAAAACGTGGCACATACTCTGTGCACAAGACAGGTATAACTCACACAGCCATCAGCAACAAGATATGAATCCAAGCACAGTAATGGCTTTTGCACACATGTCCAGAGAAACATCCACAACAATGATTGTTGTTAACTATTTTAGCACATGTGCATACACCATGTCCATGCATCCAAGGATGCAAAATCAATGTGAGGGTATTCCTGTTCCAACACATGCACCTATCAACAATTCAGCAGTGTTGTTTTGGTTATTGCATTTGAATGCATGTGTAAATTACAACAATGTGCAAAGAATACGCGCACACCAGGACAACAGTGAAAAGACAGTAGTTTGCTTTGTTCCTCAGGTTTCCAGGTAGAAGCAATGGCAGCGATTGTGGATCCAGCCTTGGGCGTGAGGGGGCTCTTCGATTTGCTGCTGAAGCCATTGAGAGTGCTTAAGAGAATCTTTGATGTGGAGGAGGGTGCTTCCTTCTTGCATGGAAGGGCAGTTGTGCTGATTAAGACATTGGAGAAAATCAAGCACGACATAAGACTCGAAGGAGATGGATGGCGGAGTGTGATGCCCATGGACCAATTGCAGGGATTGGAGGAGTCTCTGAAAGAATTTGCCAAGAAACTGGAGAAGGCTGAACACCTTGTGAAGAGAATCCAAGAGTACAAAGGGAAGGTTAGAATGTGGATTTACGCAAAAGGCTTGAAGACCAGCTTGGAAGATTCGAACCAGGAGCTGGATAGGGTCGACCAAGGTATTAGTGCCTTACAAGCACTGTGTTTTGGACAAACTTGTGCATATAGGATCCACATACTGGAACATTTTCTGAGCCATAACCACGATAAGCCATTATGGCACAGAAAGGATTCAACATTATGACAAGTGACCAAAGCAAAGCAAACAGAGTTGTATTGCATCAGTTCATCACAGATTTGAGTGGCATGTGGGTCTGTGCATCTGGAATGTTGCTTTTGCTTGAGCTGTACCTCTTCCGTTCTCACAGAGACTGCTTGTGTGCCATTTGGCTTTCATGCTTTTATCTACTGACAGCCAGTGCACTGTAGCAGTGCAACAACACAATGGGTCATGCTGCAACCTCGCTGCTTGCGTGCCTGCAGCAAATTTGTTGACTTGCTTGAAATGCAATTTGTTGAATTCCCTTTGCTCTGAATGGCAAGACATCCGTGACGATGGAGGTGGTGCTGTGGGCAGTGCATGGCCCAGTGTTATGTTCGATATAAATCTTGTCACATATGTGTGACCATATGTACTTGGCGGCTGCATTGTTGCAAGGCTGCAAAACAGGTGGTAATTGGCCAACCTACGTGGAGGACACAGAACTGAGTGTTGCAATCATATTTCAAGTGCACAGCTGTGACAGCCCTTGTGCATCTTTGGGTCAAGTACTAACTTTTCAATCCCAGGTTTGACACAACTACGTGCTTTTCTTGGAGAAGCTGAAGCTTCCAAGAATCAGCAACAGGCCAACCTCCTGAGGCGGATCAGTTGGGAAGGACGGCCAGTGGCGCCGGTGGTGAGCCTTGGAAACTTGCAAAAAAGCATGCTTGGATCTGCAGAGGTGGCTGCTTGGCTGCAGTGTGTATTGTGAATGGACTGAAAACGGCCTGCAGAATTGCAGGCCCTGTTTTGCTACTCTTGATGCTCAAACGGTAGAGAACTGTGGTGTGGACTCTCAGCGTACCCTTCTGGCTGCACATCCTTTGGAGCATCGCAGGTTATTTTGCCACATGTCCCCAATGCATCTTTGAATCAAGAACTTCCTTCCTTACCAGGCTGAGTCATACTGTGAATTTCACAGGACATTTCACAGGATGGACTCAGCGAAGACTTGGCTCAGTTGTCGCTGGCAGACGAGGTGTGTGGGATCAAGGGGTGGTGCCCCGGCATGTGACAAACCGTGGCATGAAGTTATGACCACCACAGACATCACGAATCGTGTTCTTCCATGCCAATGCGTGTTCCTTCTCTGTGTTGCTGGCTAAAACATGTATGGGCCAAGATACACATCAGCTAGTGGAAGTGAACTTTTGCAAAGCATCCTGGGTTTGGACTGTCCCACATTGCATCCCCATCTCATTACTGTTTCACAGGTGTATATCAAACGCAGGTCCAGTGCAAAACGAATATGGAATGAATGGTATAGAATATTGTGTTGTTAGATTATCAATTTCTCACAATTTCTATAGGCATCCAAACCTTGTTTAGCAGCGAAAACCATGTCTCGCTGATGTGCCAAGCGTTAACAAAGCGCCAAGTGAAGCAAGCATAACTATGTGCGCTGTGGCCTTGTCTCTCCAGCTTTGATTTCTGTTCATTTGCCAAAGCAGCAGATTTCAGCGAATTGTATCAGATTCGTGCCATTTCTGCCTTGTTCCCATTGCCCGGACAGTTTGCACAGCTCTACATCCTGTACTCCTGTCAAGGTATCGTGAGTGCAAGCACTCGGTTCTGAACTACTCTAGTACCTCTCTCCCAAAGTCCCAATCACGGTGACCTTGAGGCTCACACAAGACAGGTCAGCTATTTTGCTAGGTAGATGATGCAGCACCACAGGCGACACAGTGCCACAGTGCATTTCTCATGTGTGCAGTGAGCGTGAACTTCTGCAATTAGTTTATGGTGTCTCGCATATTGTTAGTTGCTGTGCTGCTCAAAAGCAGCAAGTGCCAATTTAAGGGGTTTCGTTCCACCAGGTCAGCATATGCAAATGGCCACGGTTGCTGTGGACTGCCAGTGCAGACGGCTCTCGAAAATGGTGTCTCTGGAACTATGAGTTTGCTGCAATGACAGTTATTAACTGTGTTGTAGAGAAAGTTCGTGGCCTTGCCCGACCACCTGTCAGTGGAGGAGACCTGTCTCACAACAAAAGTGCAATAGTCCAATACAAAAAGGAGTGGAAGTAATTTCCAGGTCTTCATGATTGGACAGCAGCTTTTGTATGCTTGCTCCAGATAGTTCACAGCAGGGAACTTCTAGGGAAGTGCAACGATGCAGACAGAGCGGACAGGTTGGTCTTCTGTTCTTGTTGGCATACATCTCAAAATGTTGCCATAAGGGAGGTCTGAAAACAGACCATATAGAAATGCAAGTCGCACAACAGATGATGCATCGTAATTTCTGTGGCACTGAACGCTGCAATGGTTTATTGTCAATTTTCACATACACTTGCCAGCTGAGGTGGAACATTTGCCTCGACAGGAATGCATACGTTACAACAAAAAGAAACTGGAGTTCCTTCAAGAGCAAATGGCGCCCCTGCAACAGTTGGAGAACTGCATTCCTCCGGGACCAGATTGTATTTCGCCTGAGGCTTGGACAGAGTCGATGAAGCACTTGAAAGACACCCTCAAGTCGGCACAAAAATTCATCAGCCGCCACAAGCGCCGGTTCAATCTGCAGACGTTCTACACCACACACTATGCCAGGAAGAAGATTGAGCACATCTGCGAGATCTTGAAATCGATCGCCGATGAATTCAAGCCGTTCATGGATGTGTTGAAGGATGTGGAGATTTTGGAGAAGATACCCTTTGCAGCCGTGGTTGATGACAGGGAGGATTTGGCCAAGAAGCTGAGCTTCGTTCTGAAGGGCGATTATTGTGACCTCCCGCCTGCACTGAAGGCAGAGTGGGAAGTCGCCAAGAGGGAGCACGAAGAAAGGGTGAAGAAGCTGAAAATCATCAACGAGGCTGAAATCCACTGGCACGGGCTGATAGCTGGAGACAGCTCTGAAGGCACTTATAAAGTGGAATACTATGGGTCCAAAGCGACAGCCAAAAGGATGATCCAGGATGGGACGGTCCTGGAGCTTGAGGACTTTGCAAAGTTCTTCACAGAGGCTGCAATCATTGAATCTATGAGCATCCAGTGGGTCGCCCGCCTCATTGGAATCAGCCTGCAGGGCCTCATGGTCGTGGAGGGCGGCGAAAAGGACCTGATGCAATGGTACAGGGACCTCCAGTCCGTCGACTGGAAGACGAAAGTGAGGGTGATGTGGGAGGCCGCCCAGGGCCTGAAGTATGTGCACGACCAAGAGGTGATCCACCGCTCAGTCAGCAGCCACAGCTACCATGTCTTTCAGGGCGACACCATCAAGCTAACCAACTTCAGCTCTGCAACAGAGATCACAGAAGTCAAGACCCTCTCCCACAGGAGGCAGGCCGCCCTGCCTCGCTGGATTGCACCCGAGATATATGATGGCGAGCCCCATAGCCCTTTGTCCGACGTATTCAGCTTCGGCGTGGTCATGCATGAGGTCGCCGCCCTGTCCCAGCCTTATGGCTTGAATCCAACAGCGGTGCAGCTGCTGCAGATGAAGCAGAGCGGCAGCTCACCGTGCATTGTTCCTGGAGATTGCCCTCAGGCATTGAGGGACCTGATGGCCCAGTGCTGTTCAACTAAACCAGGCGCAAGGCCCACCATGGCAGAAGTGGCGAATTGTTTGTCGGATGTGAAGACAATGCTGGCTGAGGGCCCATGAAAGTTGTGCAGTTGGGAGCGACTGGTAACTTTTCCTGCTGCGCAGGAAACCTCTAGCATTGGTTAGATGTGCTGTGCCCAGCATTCCCGGCCTGTGATCATGTTACATGAAATTTGTGGGCTTAGGGTGGTTGATAGTGGTTGTTTCCTTGATGCCGAGTGGGCAGTACCAAGATTAGCATGGGATTGTTGACAGCAACAGTCCAAGCTGTTTCACGCACTGCGTCCTGGTAGTATGGAATGAGATACTCGGCTGTTCTGCTGAACTTATTCTGCCGAACCTGGAATTTGGCCTTTGAGCCATTCACACTGCGTTGTGTTAGTCATCGTCTGCGTTCCTACCACACTAAATTGGTGCACGTCAGTTTGAGGTAGCTGTCGTTCCAGTCCCCACATTGAGAGCCGTCTTTCATTTGTGATAATGCGCCGAATCAAAATTTCTGTATCTTCACTAGTCGTCAATAGTTGATGCTCCTTCCTTCAATGAGTTCACACCATGCACGCGCGGCAATCACAATGACGAGATTAGGTGAACCAACTCACGATCCTGCACGTATGCCCACGCCTTGTGGTTCTTTCCCCGTTGCGATTCTACACCAACCAGCTCCAGCTGCGCCAACAAATGCTTTGGCCCATGTTCCTGACTCGAGGTGTGACTACCTATCGCGGCATTCGATGCACTGTGCTATAGCACTGACGGGATTGTCCATGCACGTTTGCCCGAGCAATCATAGTGGAGATCCCGTGTCATTCGATGTTTTGAAAAAGATGTCGCTCAGTTTATCCGTGCTTGAAGGGATCCTTAACCATCCGACACGCACAGTGGCCAAGTGTTGAACAATCTCATAGATGTTCCGTCTGTACAATGCCAATGAACTTGAGGGTCATGCATGACTGTTTGCAGCTCACACGTATCTTCCTTGTAGCGTTGTGGCACAAACCAAAGCTTAAGGCCCAGTACTTCATACTTCAGTTAGTCCTCAAAACCGAACTCAGCCTCAAAACAGTAGGCGGATGCGATTCAAACAAGATCAGTGGCGGTCTTTGGGCAACCCTGAAGTTACAGAGCTGCCCGCCGACTGAGAAAGCCCGCCAAGGCGCCCCATTAGAAAGCAAACGTCGGCTGTCTTGCAAACCTTGCTAAGAGTCCAACAGATGCCATGGACCACTTCCAAACGCGGCCAGGACCAAACGATCCGAGCTGTGTTAAAGACCGGCTGCCAGAAATGGGCATTGCTGAGGTAATTCCCACAGTCCTTCATGCACCGAAAGCGCTCAATATGTTCCCATTATTCACAAATTAACTGACTAATCGTCAATCTCATGTCCAACTCTGTGGGTGTTGAGGCAAAATGTCTGCTGTTGGGCACATCGCAGCGGTGAATCGAACGCCGTCAGCGCAGAATGGGATGGCACAACTGGTTTTGGACATTGTAGGACCCACACGAGGGCAAACGCCTTTGATCAACGGCATTTTCTCCGCAAATGATGTCCATTTGAACGTAATGATGACATAGAACACAGCGCCCTCGACCCTGAACCTGCAGCATGGCTACACAGCACACCCCGCATCCCATGGCAGCCACCGTGTGTTGTAGGGGGCCAGCGCCTTGTCATCGTGCTCGCTGCAGTACATTCTGGCAGCACGCATGTGTTGCAATGGCGCTTAGCCTGAATAATACAATAGGGCATCTATACCTATTCAACAGGCTTGATTTTTACGCCGTAAAAACTGATCGTATTTACGTTTTTACGCGCAAAAACAGTTTTTACGTTTTTACGCGTAAAAATGCGTAAAAAACGTAAATACAACGTAAAAACTGCCCGGTGTACATAAGGACAGTACATACAGACTTACGGGGTCAGGAGAGTGGCAGCCAGACGCCCTGGAAGGGATAGAAAACGAGTTTTTGCTAAACACCATCATCGCCCTTGCCAAGGGCGAGGTGGACATTGAGTTGCGGGTGCTGGAGACGGCGGAGGACTGATCATTGTACGCAACTTTCATCATGTAATCTGGGCGTTTCAGGTAGCCGTAAAAACGTAAAAATAGCCGTAAAAATAGGCCCTTTTGCAAATTTACGTTTTTATGCGTAAAAACGTAAAAGTAAAAACGTAAACGTAAAAACCAAGCCTGCTATTCAAGAAAAAGGGGCAATGGGGCTCTGCTGAATCATTAGCTGGGGAATGGCCCTTCGCCGGGTCGGTGGAGAACTCTGTTTCCGGAGTTCTATTTATGAGGCCTACAGTCCCTGCTGTGGCTCCCTGGTTCGAATGCATTTAAGATGCCCATTCTTGTTCTACTACAGTATTCTAGTGGCGCACAGCGCGGTGAAGCCATCCTGCCATGTGCTGCGCTTGATGCCAGTCGAACACCCCAGCCACAGGAGTGGCAATGGCCTGCAGAATCCTTGTCGTTTGCTGTAAATCAGTCAGTGCTGTGTGGTCGAGAGCGCGAAGCGGCAGCGGCGTTGAATTTCGACCATCGAATCCACACCGTCGTCCGCTGTTTGTGGCTGCCGCAGTTGCAGGGCTGGTGCCACGTTGGATCCCGGCTCCTCACAGCCACCACATGAGCAGCACCATCTGTTCAAGAACCTCCCATCCTCTCGAGGTTACAGAACATTCTGCGTCCCGCCGCAGCAGCGGCGTGCGGTCGGAAGTTGCGGGGCGCCCACACTGGCGTCCTCCTTCCGGATTGCTGCCGACATTCGGGCACCACATTTCGGAGCTGGCAGCCGGCCAATCCGGCCAGTATCTTTGCCGTGCCCTCTGGCGCCTTCGAGCGGCTGGAACCTCATGCGCATTTCCTCGACACCTTGACGCGCCGGCGTGGCTGAACTGTTTTGTCGAACGGGGACCTGATAAGGCCGGCCATTGGCCATCACCGCCCGCCTTGGGCGGAGAGCGTGGACTGCTGTGTTGGGCCCCAAGGCTGGTTGGAAGGTAGATGCCCACTGCTTACAAGGCTTTTTCAGTGCTCCGGACGCCACTAAAGACTACACATTGTTTCTATCGACGGACACGCGAGCCCGTGTCGGGGCGGCTGTGAGCGACGGATATCGTATCGGATCGGCGGCGCTGATTTTGCATCTGTTGCACTGTGCAGCCAGGGGACGGCAAATAGGGGGGACGCCAAGAAGCGAATGGTACTTTGCTGCTGCTTGTCATTCTTGTCATCGATGGTTTGTGCGCTGATCCACGTGGGGAGCCGTAAAGCTATCAGGTTGCGTTGTCGACGAGCATTCCTTTGCGATTATCCAGCATCCGGGGTTGCTGGGGACGTCCGCAGCCGTGTGTGGACGAGGAAATCAAGGGAGAGCTTGGGATGCGTTGGACCTGCAGCTGGTACAACTTCCCATGCGAGTTGCGTTCATGTGGGGCCCCAGTCCGGGCCATGCTGGAGCACTCTCCTGTGGTGGCTGGGGCGTGTGCATTTTGCAGCTTCGTGCACTCATGCTTGCGCTGGTGTTTGGCAGGATCACAGCAGGAGGCCGGCTACCACAAGAGTGATGACAAGATGGTAACAATTGGCCAACATTTTTACCCTGGAGATGATGCTGCACACTGCAACCCTGACAGGGTGAGGACTGTCACAGTAGCATGTTTTCTGCAGTTTACACTTGGTACTTGTTGGGGTTTGCGTTGTTTTCTGTCAAGTAGCGGCCTTGTCTTATAGTTTGTTGAGGTTTGTGCACAGGCATGCTCAGGTTGTTGGCAGGTCTGCCGAGCCATGTCAGTCTTAGGGTTGGCAACCTTGCTTGCTTACGATTGGGGCAGTGGCCTTGAACACGCGACCCTTTTTGCAGTGTCATTTATGCAGTACCTCAAATGGCGTTATTTGTTGTATTCAGCAGACATGCATCTACTTTTGCACTTCAGTTGTGCTGGATGTTTCCATTGTAGTTAGCGATATGATACATCGAACATATTGTTGGTGGTTTCGATTGATTTCTTCCATGTCACAATGACACAGTGCTGGCGCTACAACAACAGAAGCCTTGCATTCTTGGAACAGCAGCTGCAAAAGACCGCATCGGTGCAGAAATTCCAGCATGTGCTGAGGGAGGCGAAAGGAGCACTGATGGGGACAAGACAGCGTTTGTGCTATGAAAGACTTGCCAAGGCGATGCAGATCAGAAGGTCTCTGATCCAACACCACACCAGAGCATTCAACGTGAAGAAATTCTTCACTCCCAGTGAGGCACAGTGTGGAGTCGAAGAGATCTGTGGTGCCATCAGAGAATTCTTGGAAATGTTCAGCCTGCATGCGTCAGGTTTGGAAGGCAGGGTTCCTCAAACAGACATCGATGATGACAAGAGGACTTTGGGAGAGTACCTTGGTTATGTTCTTGGTCTGTGTACTTGCAGTTTTGAGGGTGTATCTGCTGTTGTCAAGGAAGAATGGAAACGCTCCAGACAAGAATACAACCTACAGATGAAGAGATTCCAGACAATTGCTGATGATGAAGTGGACAAGGGCCAAGACATATCCAGGGTTTTGTGTAAATGCAGGTGGAGGGGCAGAGAATTTGCCTTCAAGCAGTTTTCAGAAGACAATGAAAGGAACACTGTACAACTTGCCCAAACCTTTGGCGAAGCGGCTTGCATGGACTTGTGTCACAGCTCTCCTTTTGTTGTAGGGCTTTTGCGGGTTACCAATTCGGGGAGTTTGCTGATGGAGTTGGGTGAGGCAGATCTGGTAACTTGGCTCAAACGCAATCAGCCAGCAGATGTGAAGTTGAAATTGCAGTTCCTGTTGCAGGCAGGTTCGGGGCTAGCCGATGTGCATTGTGAGGAATTTGTGCATTGCAATGTTAAGCCTGAGAAATTTGTCGTTTTCAGTGGTGGCGATGTGAAAATCAGTGTCTTGAACTCGATGGTTGCAAGCACCCATGCGACTTGCACAATCACGTTAGAAGATAGTGATGCTGTGTGGGTTGCTCCAGAAATACTTCATGGACTGCCGCACACTTGCAACAGTGACATTTACAGCTTCGGTGTTGTCATGTATGCGATCATGGCAGAAACACAGCCATACGGGAGGAACTGCACTGCAGCTGTGGTGCTTGACAAGAAGGTGGATGAGCAGCCTCCCTGCGATTTGCCTTGCACTCTTCCAGCAAATCTGGTGAAGCTCATGTCAGAGTGCTGCTCAGCTGATCCTGCCAAAAGGCCGCCATCAATGGATGCTGTGTGCACGCGCTTGCAAAGCATCCTGGAGGACTTGACGATATCAGGATCTACATTGAATCTCAAGAACATGGCCTTGAAGGTGCGGCAACATCACTTTCTCCATCTTGCGGTGTGGTCCCAACTGTGCTTGATGTGCAAATAGCCACAGTCATTCATTGGCTCTCGCTGCCTGCAGCAAACTATCTCTGGTACCATTTGCTTTGCACCCCAGCCACTACTGCTGCTGTCGAGTGCACTTTGGTACACTTGCAGGGTGGTTCGCTGGGCAAGAGCAATCTTGTGAATATCCACATTTCAGGTGCCAATTTGTCACAGCGTGAATGTCTGTTTCAAAAACCTGTGTTATCATAGTGCAGTACTGTCCAAGGGTCACTGTTCAGTGTGATTCAGTGGTGCATATCCAGCAACAATGCAAATCTCTAGGCTACCTAACTACTGTGTGTTTCAGCTGTGATGTACTTGAAAAATAGAAAACAAGAGCAATCTCAAAGGGGCCTGCCATAGAGAAGGAACAATGAAACAATGCATCCTTACAGAAATTGAAGATTAAGGCTGTACGTATGTGGGTGTATTTGTGTTTGGATTTGCCAGTTTATATTTGTGTGAAAAGTTGCTGTGTGAGATTCTTGCCTGAGAGTGTGTTGGGTGGGTTCAGGGGCGCTCAACAGTTTGCCCTGTGCCCATTTTCATGTGCTGTGCAGCACAAGTAGACCAGATGAGTTTAGGGAAGACGATTTGTTTGGTCTCCCAACAGGAATAAACTGAAGACATTCGTGCCGAGCCCTTGCAAGCACGATGCTTGCATATGCACAGACCCACTTGTGCATTCGTTGGGCTTTCCCCTGTATTGATGTGGATGTTCCAGAGTTGTTGCAGGGATACAATGCTATCTTATGTGAATCATAAAGAATGCATCAACAAAGATATTGCTGGACAAGAGTGCGAGCAGTTGTTTTCTGCCCTATCAAAGAGGGAGAACATGGTTTCATGCAAACACTTGGATGCTTACAGTTCCTGCTGCATTGTTACAGGAGGCTCAAGCCCTTGGGGAACCAGAGTACGAGCTCCCTGGTGCAAAGTACAACAAGGAAATTGTGGGATTTTTGAACCAACAGGTGCAAAAATATCATGAAATGAGCATTCCAACATCGCCAAAGGAAGATATTTTGCTTGCTGGTGAAGTCGCACTGGAGACAGGGGAGAGGCTCATTGAGAAGCACAAAAAGCGGGTTGATATAAAAACTTTCTACCAGTCTTTCGAAGCCAGAGATATAGTGGAAGACGTGTGTGAGAGAATTTTTCAGGTTGTCAGACATTTGGGCAAGGAACCTGAAGTCACAGTTGAGGTGAAAGTGCCACGGGCAGCGTATGACAGAGACAGGCATAGAATGTCGATGCTTCTAAAGTATGTTCTCCAGGGAGAGGAGCCAAAGGGAGATTTTGACATTCCTCAGGATTGGAAGGCAAGCAGACAAGAGCATGAGCAGCGCATACATGACCTACCGCCAACTGACGAAATTGTGACGGAAGACCTCCACAAAGTAGGCACAGGTAGTTTCAGTAAAGTCTCTTCTGTTGTCTGGTCGGGAAGACTTGTTGCTGTAAAGGAGATCGTTGGGAAGGATGGGATCGAAGACATTGAAAATCGTGCAGAGTCTTTTAAAGACATTCTGTACCAGATACCCCTTGACGAAGAGCACGTTGCTAAGGTGTACGCCATTAGCAAGTCAGGACAGCTGCTGGTATGCCCAGCCTGTGATCGTGTTCCACTAGCTATGGACTTGGGGTGGTTGACAGTGGCTGTTTCATTAGCTCAGAGTGGGCAGTACCACACTAAATCCGGGATTGTTTGCAGCAGCAGTCCAAGCTGTGCTGTGGGCTGCGTTCCGGTACCAGGGAATGAGCTATCCGGCAGTTCTATTGACCCTATTCTGCCGAACTTCGAATTCGGCTTTTTGAGCCATTTGCACAGCGCATCGCCGTCTGCTGAATCCTTGCCACACCAATTGTCGTACGTCGCCTTGAGTGCCATTGGATGCCCTGCAGCCAATCGTACCGTCTTTCTGATTGAAGAAATACGAAAGAAAAAGCTGAATCTTCTAGGGTCTGACTCAGGGTGAGTCAAAGTGATGTACCGGACTAGCTTAAGCCAAATGACTGGGAAATTGTAATTACTCGTGGTAACCCGGTATGAGCGATGGTGATGGAAGCCAAGCGAGTTGCAATGCGATGTCCACAAAGTGTGTCAATATGTGGGTGGGTAGAGGTGACCAGCAGCGCTTCAACCAGTCATTTCTTAACCTATTATGTTAGTTAACCTAACCTAAGCCAACCCAGCAGTCCAGGCACGATACAGTGCTGTGTAAGGGGCGGATAGATTCGGGTCGTTCACAGCCACATTGTGACTGGAACTGGGATTGGAAACGCAGCCCGAAGGCTGGAGACAAACAGGTTCGGTGCCAACGGAGTTACAAACATCCCCACGTCCAGTTTCCAATAAATAGGCTGGACAGGTGTACTAACATCGTTCTCAGTACAACCACATTAGGCATACGATCAGTACCGTCCAATTCTCGATGCTCAACCTGACATAAGGCCCCTTTAAGGGAGTATCGACCTGACAGGTCCAAGAAAACAAACGTGCCCCGTTCAACATAATGGGCCAACATTCCCAACAAGTGCCGAATCGCGCGGGCCCGCATCAAATCGATGCGGCGGCCGGCCGCCGACGCCTGACGGCGGCGGCGTGCTGCTGGACGATCGGCCGCTTGATGGATCGCGGGGACGTGGCGGGTCGGGCGCGGGAGGGTGCCAGAGGGGCTGATCGCAGAGACCTTCCCAGCACTGGTCCCCGCCCGCGCGGGCGCTGAGATCTCTGTTACCTTGGCGATGCGCTGCGGGCGGCGTCCCTGGGGCCTTGCCCTTGCGGCTGCCGCGCGCTGGCCGCCTGCCGTGGCTGCGCGGCTCCCTCGCGGCCCGTGCACCTCCAGCCCTGCGAGCGCCACTTGGTCACGTATCGCAAATACGGTGGGCCATCACCAAGGGGCGCCCCCCATCACGAGGCAAATGCGTGTCAAATGCGAACGCCCCCACCCTTAAATTTGACACGGCCACCTAATCAACCTGGTGGTCAGGTCCCTCCAGCACTGAGCGACATTCTTAACATGATTAATGGAAATTAAGGGGCGCGGACGCGCATGACCCGCGATTGATGGAATAAAGTGCACAGCACAGCGATCGCGGCTGTCGCTCCTCGCGTCAGTTGCTGCGGACCATAACCTAGCGTGGCCGCTGCCGCCAGCCCGCCGCGGAAGCAAGCCCAAGGGATAGTAAGCAAGGCGGCGGGGAAGGCAGGCCGCGATAGCGGGAAGCGGAGAGATTTTGCACGAGGCCCCCGGCGGCATCGCGGCCCATCACCCCAGCGGCATCGGCGCCCTGCGGTCTTCCTTCCTGCTAGGTTGCTTGCAGCGGGTCGCCGGCGTCGGCCCGCCCTTCCGCGCCGTTCGCGCCCCGCGGCGGCTACGCCTCCCGGCTCTCGCCGCCGGCGCTCGTCGCGCACTTCGCCCGCGCCCGCCTTGTTCGCGCTCGGCCCCATCCCGGTTGGCGGCGCACGAGGTTCACGCCTGGCCGCGCTCACCGCGCCCGGATCGACACGGTCAGCCCTGTCGACGAGCCGGTCGATCGCGCCCCGGGCTCGCCGGCCGATTGCGCCAGGGGCCCTCCCCCCGCCCCTTCCAGGCGTTCCGCGGCCGGGCGCTACCCCTACGGCTCCAGCCCTACCAGCCTTCATGTGCCTCCGGCAGCGGCTCGGTAGTTCCCTGACGTACAGCGGTCAACCCGCCCTCAGTACAGCCATCCGGGCCCAGGCCCTTGGCGCACCCGCTCCATGCGGGCGTGACCGCCCTGCGCGCACAGCGCTCTGATGGTTCGCCGTGTGCACCCGCTCAGGCGGATCACTTCGACCCCCAAACGGAGGAGCTGGATTACGATGAGGCCTCTCCACGAGCGCCGGGCGCACAGCCCGAACACCCCGATGACACCGCCGAGTGGGAGCACGTCCCCGCAAATGCCGCCGGTCCGCCCTCCGCGGACGACCGGCGCGGCACATGGGTGGAGCACGCTCATCCTGAGGGGCAGATCGAGCGCTCTGGCGCCAACCTCACGGTCCCACGCAGTGGCAGGTCAGTGATCGCAGCACAGTCCCGCGCCGCTCCCCCCCCCCCGTTCCCGAGGCCTCCGTATGGCGCGCCGCCGCCCTTAGGATTCTGCGCCATGCGCGCTACGCTCGTCGCAGCCTTCTCGCACGCCGGTCCCTCGCGACCAGGAATCGCTATTCACCTTCCATCGCCCGCCCGCCTCCGGCTCCCAGGCTCCATGCCGAGCCGCCTCTCATGCTTATTTTCTGGCCTCGGCGCCGGCTCCTCCGGTGTCTCGCTCTCCATGTGGCTGCGGCTTCAAACACCCTCTCAGCCACGTCTCCCATGGTTATGGCCCTGCCGTTACCGTTGCGGTCATCCCGCACAGTGACGTCACCCACCGGTCTCCAGCGTGATATCCCGACACGCAGGTGGCGCCATGGCGGAGGTCAATCCTCCGCTCAGGACGTCTCTGACGCCGCGACGGCCGAGTTCCCTCTCCGGTTTCACAACCTCGAGCAGGAGTTCTCGGTGGCGGATACCCTCTTCGAGGTCGCCGCCGCGCGCATTCTCGGGCCACCCCCGAGACCGCTGTACCTGCTCACCATGACCATCTGCGATCATATGGGAGACTTCGACATTATCCAGTATGCGTCGCATGAGGTGCTGGCTCTTCGCCCCGCCCCTTGCCCTTTGTGGGCGACCCCGGCCGAAGCGGCGTATCGCCAATGGTTCGAGGTTCAGCTCCCCGCGATTACCTTCGACCCGACTTCCCTGCAGGAGGATTCGTCGTGGGTGCCCACCAACACTAGCCTGGCGCTCATCGCGCCTGAGTGGGTATTTGCTCACACTCACTTCGAGTGCCTTGAGGAGCGCGACCTGCCCCCCTCCCTCAGCGTGGGGCCCGGGATTCGGCCCAGGGACGCGACTCTCCCCTTGATCCGGCCGCAGGCCAGAGACCGCGACGGTTTTCATGTCCCATTGCTGCGCCTCCCCATCGACACTTTACCCCCCCCGGGTAAATGTGTATCTGTCTATACGTTCCGCAGCCCACGGCGTGCGGATCAGAGCGCCGCCCGCGTCGCGGCTCAACTCCGCGGTCGCTGGAGCGAGCGCGTGGACTCAGCCACGCCATCCGTGGCTCAACAGAATGCCTGGTGGCGCCAGCCGCCCCAAGGCCGGGCAGAGCAGCTGCCCAAGCGGTCTCGGCCTACCCAGCCACAGGCATCTCCTCGCAGCATGCATGCAGCTGCCACCTGGGAGGCAGCCATGGTGGAAGAGAGGAACCGCGTTCGACTTGACGGCCCTGACGCGCGCTCTCTTCGAGCACCAGCATCTAGCATCCCGAAGCTTGCTTCTGTCCGCGTCGGCGCGTCGGCATCGGGGGAGGGCAGTCATCCTGTCGACCCCGAATTGCATCGCCCCCCCGCCCGAGTCCCTACTCCGCCCACTCCTATTGGGGCGGGGGGGACCTCGGCGCCCCTCGAGATGGACTGGATGAGGGAGCCCGAAGACGAGTTCAACACTCGCGCATCCTCCTCCGCGACGGGGGTCCTCGCGCCGCGACGGCGCTTTGTGCTGGGACGTGGCTGTCAGCCATTCCGGTCCTGCAGTCGCCACGCACGGTGGCGTTTTCTGGCCTACGACGAGGCCGGTATCCAGGGCTCCTGGAGCGGGCTGTACTCTGCGGCTCGGAACCTCATCGGTATCCATTCCAAGTCTCCTGGAGTCAACCTCCTGTGCGCCGCAGAGACTGTCGACCAAGTCCTGGCGCGGGTGGAGCCCGTTCTGTTCCCCGGGGAGGACGTGCAGCAGGCGCCAGCCGCCTTGTACAACGTCCTCCGCATCATCACCCCGGTCCTCGGCCTGGCCGTGCGTGTGGCCAGCCCACACGCGCGGGTATTTGATCACCAGGCCTGCGCCCAGTGGGTTGCCGGGCTGGAAGCAGAGCTCTTCGCTCTGAACGAGGCTGGTTACATTGATGTTCATCACATCCTGCGCCAGCTCCGCGCCCGGTTTACGTCGGTCATCGCCGACAACGCGCGGCTCTACGCCGACTCGCCGGCCCTCCACCGGCCGGCCGATCGCGGCCACGACGCTGGCGGAGGCTTCCCTCGCGGCGGCGGGCGCGGAGGTCGTGGTCGGGGATCCGGCGGCGGGAGTGGAGCGGGGGCCCCCAGCGGGCCCCCTATCGTGTAGGTACCATCGCCTCTGGTCTGTCCGGGTCCCCGTGGGTCGGCGGGTTTGTCTCTGGCCGGTTCCCTACTTTGATGGGTTTGGCGGGTGTGTGTTTTTCCTCTGTGTTTGCGTTCTTGGTTAGCTCGCTCTCGGGTCCCATGTTCTGTGGCACGTTGTGTGGACCGGTCGTGAACATTTGGGCACCATGCCCTGGGCTGCTTTGTAATGTGTAACCTTTCTGATCAGCTTCGGTGTGCCCTCGCGACAGAAGTTCGGTTCCCGCACCGTCCCTGCCAGTCCCCGGGTCATCCTCGCGCGCTGGCCATTCATTCCCACCCTCTCCTCGCCAGCCTGTCTCGCAGCGAGCATTGCCGCGGCCACGGGCTCCTTCGCCTCCGCCTAGTCGCGCCGCCGAGATTGGAGATCGGCCCGCGCCCAACCCGCCCTCCTCCTCTCAGGTGCTGCAGCTTCCGGCTGCCCCCAGCCCGGATCCGTTTTGTGCTCCCGACTCCCTCCCGTTCGACGCCCCATTCCTAGCTCCTGACGGTTCCGAGGAGGAAGAGAGTACCTTCCCTCCCTTCGATCTCCAGATCCCCGCCGCGGACGAGTTGCACGGCCTCTCTTCCCCTGCCGCCATGCGTCTCCCTGCTATGTCACGCGACTTCCCCCTACCGGAGCCTCGGCGCGGCCCCGCCGGCAGGTGGTCCACCCACAGCGCCTATCTGGCTCGGGCTCTTCGCCTCTTGCAGGATTTGCAGCGCCGCGACGCGTCGGCGTGTCAAGACGTCCAGGCCGTGATCGTCGAA